TGAACATGTGTCTCAAATTCTTTAGATTCTGTATTTCCCCTACTATTCTTACCCTCCCCCCATCTATTTTCTATCTACTGTCTATGCTACTTATTCTCTGTACCTTCTCCCCCCTTCTCCTTCTCCCACTCCCCTGCTGCTAACCCTCCATGTGATCTCCATTTCTATGGTTCTGCTCCTGATCTAGCTGTCCTCTTAGTTTGCTTTTGTTTTAGGTGTGGTTGTTGATAACTGTGAGTTTGCTGTCCTTTCACTATTCAACTTTTTTATCTTCTTTTTCTTAGGTAAGTCCCTTTAACATTTCATATAATAAGGGCTTCATGATGATGAACTCCTTGAATTTGGTCTTATCTGAGAAGCACTTTATCTGTCCTTCCATTCTAAATGAAAACTTTGCTGGATAGAGCAATCTTGGTTGTAGGTCTTTGGTTTTCATGACTTGGAATACTTCTTTCCAGCCCCTTCTTGCCTGTAAGGTCTCTTTTGAGAAATCAGCTGACAGTCTGATGGGAACTCCTTTGTAGGTGACTGTCCCATTATCTCTTGCTGCTTCTAGAATTCTCTCCTTCATTTTAATCTTGGCTAATGTAATGATGATGTGCCTTGGTGTGTTTCTTCTTGGGTCCAACTTCTTTGGGACTCTCTGAGCTTCCTGGATTTCCTGGAAGTCTATTTCCTCTGCCAGAATGGGGAAGTTCTCCTTTATTATTTGTTCAAATAAGGTTTCCACTCGCGACTCTTCCCCTTCTGGTACCCCTATAATTCGAATGTTGGAACGTTTAAAGATGTCCTGGAGGTTCCTAAGCCTGTCCTCATTTTTTTGAATTCTTGTTTCTTCATTCTTTTCTGTTTGACCAATATTTGCTTTCTTCTGGTCCACTCCATTGATTTGAGTCCCAGAGTCCTTTCCATTACTATTGGTATCCTTTGCATTACCATTCATTTCAATTAGTTTAGTTTTCATATGTTCCTCTAATTTGTGACTAAAATCAACCAGTTCTGTGAGGATCCTGATAACCAGCGTTTTGAACCATGCATCTGAAAGTTTGGCTATTTCCTCATCGCTTAGAATTATCGGCTCTGGGGCTCTGAGTTGTTCTTGAGCCATTTTTGGTCTGTTTGCGCCGGTAAGTAAGTAAGAGGGGCAAAGCCTTAGTTGTTTACCAGGGCGGGGCCACCCAGGTCGCTGGTTCGTGAGGCTGTGTGTGGGGGCGGGGTCAGAGAGGGAGCAATGGCAGCCATTTCCGTTAGCCCAGTCTGTTGCATCTCACCACTCGCCCCAGCCTGTTTATCCAAGCAGAATTGTGGGAGCCTGCTGCCCCGCGCCGTACAGTCTCAATGCTCGCCTCTTCACTGGTTTATCTGCACGCAAATGTGCAACCTACTGCAGACAGCCAGCTGCGCCTCTTCCCTGTGTGCGCCCGTAGCTAGCCTGCAATCGATCCGCGCCTTTGGCTGCTTGCGCACCACCAGGTCAGGGATCTTTTTGGTCAACCGGCTTCGCTGCTGGCTTACCCATTTAGCTGAGCATTTCATTGTCTTTGGACTCCGTGTTGTCGATTTTCTGTGTGGTCTGGTTGTGTTAATCGTTGTTAAAAATAGTTGTTCTTAGGTTTGGTTGTGCACGGAAGCAAGGTGGGTCCACCTACACCTCCATCTTGGCGGAAGTCCACATCTGTGTATCTTCTTTGGTGAAGTGTTTATTCTAGACTTGTTGGAAAGAGGTATTCCAAGTCATGAAATCCAAAGACCTACAACCAAGATTGCTCTATCCAACAAAACTTTCGTTTAGAATGGAAGGACAGATAAAGTGCTTCTCAGATAAGATCAAATTCAAGGAGTTCATCATCACCAAGCCCTTATTATATGAAATGTTAAAGGGACTTATCGAAGAAAAAGAAGTTAAAAAAACATGAACAGTGAAAGGACAGCAAACTCACAGTTATTAACAACCACACCTAAAACAAAAGCAAACTAAAAGGACAGCTAGATCAGGAGTGGAAACATAGAAAGGAAGATCTCAAGGAGGGTTATCAACAGGGGAGTGGGAGAAGGAGAAGGGGGGAGAAGGTACAGAAAATAAGTAGCATAGACAGTAGATAGAAAATAGATGGGGGGGCAAGAATAGTATGGGAAATATAGAATCTAAAGAACTTGAGACACATGGTCATAAACTAAAGGGGGGGTAGGGTGGAGGGAAATAAGGGGAGAATAGAACAACTGTAATGGCATAATCAATAAAAAATAAATTAAAAAAACGTGTCTATAAAGAACACTAATAACCTCAAACATAAAATATATTCGAGACCCAAGTTTTTTTGTCAGATAGGTGATTCTTAGATATTTTCTTCCAGTCTTTCAAAGGGTAGAGTGTTTAGTTTTGAAGTAGTCCAATTTGGCATCTTTTTCTGTTACGAAGAGTACTTTTAGTGTTGTATTTAAGAACCCTTTTCCTTGTATCTATGAACCTTTTACCTGGTGAGTTCACAGAGATATTCTCCCGTTTCCTTCTAAAATAGTTTATAGTTTGATGTTTAAATCCATGATCTACTTTGGATTAGTTTTTATAAATGATGTTAAGTTTATACCAAGGTTCATTTATTTGGCCAATGGGTGTCCAGTTGTCTGAGCTGCAACTGCCAAAAGAACCACCCTTCTTTCATTAGCTGCTTTTGCTTCGTCTAAGGTCAATTGACTGTACTGTATGGGCCTCTTTCCAGACTTTTAATCCTGTTCTGTTGATTTATGTATTTATTCTTTCACCAGTAGACATCAGTTTTTAAATACAACACAAAAAGCCTGTAAAGGTGGAACAGGGGTGGGGGAAGTTAGTATGGTGCCTTGATTTAAGACCAAAAGCATTGAGTAAGTATTTCACCAACTTCCTGTCTATGCTTCTCATGCAGATCCTTTTAAATTAACTGTGAATCTCCTTTTGTCATAGAAGTATAGAATTAGATAAAAGAGTAAATGAATTGAGAAAAGCTCCCAAATTAAATCTTATTACATTGGCTGCAGACCCAGTTATAGACTTATTGGATTTATCAAACAACTTTGCAGAGAAGAAAATCAGTCTCTGAGAAAGGAAAGCCAGACTTCCATGCACATAGAGGAATTACTCTGTTGCTTGTTTTGTGAAAGTAACACTCAATTGCAGGGGCTCATATAGAACCCCCTGTGTCCTTATATTTCATCAGAGATCAAGCTGTGATTCTTCTGCAGACAGAAGAATCTTAACCGCCTGTGCCCTGGGGAAGCCCATGCCTAGCCTGTTAGTAGTCTCTGCCTTTCAGCTGTGGGGCTGGTATGTGAGGGTGAGGAATATAGACCTTGTCCCGGGACCAAGGCCAGGCCTGAGGGGCCTTTTCTGTGTGAACTTGACCATGTATGGCCTTACCTTGTGCAGGCTTGAGTCTCAGGCTGCTTATAGAAATTCCATTTGAGAGAAAAGGATTGTATTCTCAGGATGGTATCTAGTCATAAAATGAGGACTACCCAATTTCACTTTTAAAAAAAAAAGGAAGTCAAAAAGTAGCAGTTTAACGGAAAATGTGATTATGTCCAACGCAGGTGCCACATGACACAGTGCCACCTGCTCTTTAAGTCTTGCCTGCTACTGTTTTTGTTTGGGTACAGATGCAACAAAAAGTGATGATGGGCAGAAAAGTCCACTTGTCCCCAGAGCCCCTTATTGGAGGAGATTACTTAAGAATCTACTTGCTACTTAATTACCGCTTTCTTTTAAAACTCTCCTCCAGCTCCCTCTTCTGCAACCCTGCTCCGGCTTCCTTCACATTCACACTGCCACAGCGGCACTTTGCAGGCCTGGGTCTCTCGTGGGTCCAGGTGGCTGAACCCGCGGGAGATACAGCATTTGGTCTCAGTGGAGTGTGGTGCTTTTTCACATGGACTCTTATCCTCTCTGACTCTCCTCCTGACAGAATGGGGAGAGCTGGGGTCTTCCAGGTTTCACAACTGGGAGTGGGATAATGTAAAAGCTTGGTTAAAACAGGATCGTAAAAACAGTATGCAAGGACTTTCAATCTTTCATAAACACAGACCTACGTTTGTTTACTGACCACCGGGTGGCTGGCCAAGGCCTTTTGTTTGGGGTTTATCCTCAGAGCTCTGTGTTGTTTTTATCTTAGAAACTGTAGCCAAGATGCATCATTTGTGACTTACCATTTCTAAGTGGAACAAGAGCACAAGGGCCCACAGCAGTGGGACTGCAGAATGCTTCCAGGTCATCCTTAGTCTTTCGTAGTTGTCTCACCCACACTTAACTTGACTGTCACTTTTTTAAATTACCCTATTGAGTATTTTTAAAGTATATTTTTAGAAAGAGCTATTTTTGTGGCTTTTGTACTCATTTATAGTATTTCTTTAATTCTAATATATAAATTACTGCCAGACAGAATGTCACCAACAGCTATGACAGACAGACTTGGGGCAGATCCTGCTGACTTTGGGCCTGCCTGAAGGTCACCTGTGGGGAGCACAAACACATGATGCCCTGTACTTGGGGGCTGTGAGTGCCCTGAGTCCCCAGGCCCCGATAGTGTGGTTTATAGGGTGACTGGGGGACATGGCTAATGTGGAAGTGTGGCCACCTAGAGCTGGGTTAAGAGTTCACATAAAGGCGGGTTGAAACCTCTCAAGGGACTCTAAGGAGTAGGAGCAAAGGGCACACCAGCTGGTGTGTGTCTGACAGGAGCTCCATTGTCATGGGACAGCAGCCGAGGCCACACCGCTCACCCAGTGGGGGGCAGAGCACATTTCCCATGAAGGGCAGTCATCCCCTTTGCAGTGTGAGGTGTGATTGGAAAAGTATTGGGAAATCCAGAGTCATGAGGCCTAACGAGGCCAGGATGGGTGCCCTGCCAGGGTCCTCGCCTGCTGAGTTCCATGTGTATTGACATGCTGGCCCTTTCCTTCCTGCGCTGGGCAGTGAGCTACTGTTCATTTAGAGGTCTCAGCACTTCTTTAAAACTCTTTCCCAGGGCCACCACAGTACGTTATAAAGGGAGAAACCTACGGATAAAAGCGCCCATGTGCCGAGCCCTGAAGAAACTCTGTGACCCAGACGGTATGTAGAAGGTGCTCTGGGGTAGGGTTGGGAAGGTGTTCAGTACTGCTCCACTTAGCAATGGACAGGCCAAGCTGTGTGTCTGAACCTTCCTTTAGTATGTCCACTCAGTAAATCAAGTTCAGCTCAGAAGCCACAGTAGCATTCACATGGGGTGTCATCAGTGTCAGGAGCAAGTCTTAGGGCCTTGCGTAGCCCAGTTGTGGCTCTGGCTTGGCAGGTACCCTACTGGCCACATTGGCACTTCTCTAGGCACAGGTCCTCGTGGGCTTCTCTGCTAGCTCTGCTTTCCCTCCCAGGCTCTTTGCCCACGGCTTCTCCTTGACCTTGAGTTGTCTGGCCAAGCGCTTTGACTTCTGTGCAGAGACCTGTCTATCAAGCTCTCATGGCCCCTTTCTGTCACAGGCTTGAGTGATGAAGAGGACCAGAAGCCAGTGCGTCTACCCCTGAGAGTCCCCGTAGAGCTGCAGCCGAGGAACAACCATGCCTGGGCCCGCGTGCAGAGCCTGGCCCAAAACCCCAGGCTCAGGTAACTGCCTTTGGTCTTTGATGGGGAGCCAGCTGCAAAGGATGGGTCCAGAGGAAGGTGCCTGGGTTCCGTTGTGGACCTCTGGGTGAACAGATTTTCCCCATTGCTCCAGAGTTACACGGGGGTAGTGCACCGTTCTGGGGGTTCTGGCAGTATGGGTTTGTGGACCAAGAGAGTTGGATGTAGAAGGATGTCGTGGTTAGCAGGTCGATGACTAGAGGATCTTTCCCTCACCTTTTCCCCCAATCCCCTTTTTGTTTCTCTCTATTTCCCTAAAGATTTGTGTCTGAGTAATGGGCAGGGCACCACTCTGGGCAGACTATTTTGCAATTACACTTTTTTTTTTTTAGATTGAGGTAAAAGTCATGTAACGTAGAAGTAACCATTACCATTTTCAAGTGTCCAATTCAGGACATTTGAGTACTTTCACAGTATTGTACAACTTCCATCTAGTTCCAGGACATTTTTATCACTCCAAAAGGAGACCTCCTACCCACTAGTTACTTCCTATCCCCTGCCTCTGGTGCCTCGCTTCCGGCAACCACTAGTCTGCCTTCTGTCTCTGTGGATTTGGCTGTTCTGGATGTTCCACATAAACAGAATCTCATACTGTAGTCCTTCCTGTCTGACCTCTCACTGAGCATCATGTTTTTGAGGTTCATCTATGTTGTAGTGTGTCCATACTTCATTCCTTCTTTATGTGTTTTTATATTCTTGGGATTAAGGCTGGCCAGACCTCCCTTCTTGAACTCAGAAGGCACCTAATAGAATAGGTTGGTGGGTTGTGCCAAGGTCCATACCCTGGATGAGATCTTGCACTGTAAAGGATACACAAGTCTGCAGATTCATGTGAGTCTCCAGTTACCGCAATTTAAAAGGCTAATTTTTAAGAAAAGGTGTCAAAACTATGAATGTTAAAATGGCAACAAATTCATAACTATTAACAACTGAATCTAAAAAACAAACTGAGTAAACAAGTAAAACAAACAGAATCATAGATATGGAGATCATTTGGAGGGTTACCAGCTGGGAGGGGCAGGAGGGAGAATAGGGGGTAGTGAAGGATTAAGAAGAACAAATTGGTAGGCAGAAAATAGACATGGGGATGATAAGAAGAGTGTAGGAAATGGAAAAGCCAAAGAACTTACACGCACAACCCACGGACATGAACTGAGCAGAGAGATTGCTGGAGGGAACGGGGGTACCGGGCAGAGCGGGGCAGAGGGGGAAAATTGGGACAACTGTAATAGCATAATCAGTAAAGTTTGTTTTTTTTTTAATTAAGTAGAAGTACATTTAAAAAAAAGTCGGTGTCTCTTCTGAGACATGGTGGCTCAGGCCCCTCCTTAGTGCCCTTCCCAGATGCCTTTATTCTCTATGGGATTGTCTTACTGCCAGCAGCCTCTGCAGCTATACAGAAGGTTCTGTCTCTGGGTAACAGCCTTCTTCCTGTCTGTTGTTTCTGATAGGATGATTGTGGAACTCCATCGGAAGGTCTCCAGCCTCATTGAATTCTTAAAGCAGAAGTGGGAGCTCCATGAAGTGCGAATTGTATCTTTTTCCTACCTAAAGCAACACCCCCCTCCCCCCAAATTCCACAGCATCTGCTGCCTAGAATGGTGCCCTGCTTCTCACTCCCAGGTTTATATTGGGTCCCCGTGCAGTGTGGCAGCTATGCTGTGAGATAGTGTAGAATTGGAACCAAAACCCACAGCCTGTTGTCCTCTGGGTTTTGGGTGTGAGCCTCCTTTTGGACCTTGCAGTGTCCAGGCTCTGTCACAGCAGCCCTGCATGTGGTGAGCAGCCACCGTCTCGCCTGTGGGTGTGGCCCAAGCATTCCTGTGAGCAGGTTGATCAAAATGGGCAAGGATAGCTCCAGACTTCCCCTCCTCGTTAGCCAGCTCAGACCCCTGCCCAGTCCCCAGCCAGGACAGCCTGTGTTAGGCGTGAAGTTCCTAAAGAAGAAAACGCCTGAATCATGCTTTCCCCAAGGCTCTGTGATACCCAGTGGCTGGTGTGCTGCTGTACATGGTTCCTTAATAGTGTACTCAGCGAAAGACACTTGCGGAGCGGCAGCTGCAGGACTCATTTGTGGAGTCGTCACAGGAGAAAGTGGTGCTGCACCTGTTCCCGGGAGAGAACTGTACACTGACCCCGCTTCCAGGAGTGGCTCGTGTGGTGCACTCCAAGGCCTTCTGCACAGTGCATTGGCAGGAGGGTGGCCGGTGTAAGCAGAGTTCCAAGGATGCCCACTCGCTGCCTCCAGCCCAGATCCTGGGCATCCAGAGTGGGCAGGGTACAGCCAGGGGCCAGGTGAAGTACCCAAGGGGTGGCACCGAAGGCAAGGGTGGGGGGCGGCCTCCTCCTGCCACGGATGCTTCCCAGAGCTCCGGAGAGAGTTCCCCTGAAAGTGCCCCTGGGGAGGGGGCTGCCCTAAGCCTCAGCAGCCCGAATGCTCCCGACAGGCTCCCCCCTGGGCTCCAAGACACTGGGGTACGGCTTGAGAAGACTCCTATGGCAGCTCCTGTAGAGGGCGGAGACAGCCCAGTCCAAGAGCCCGGGGCTGTGATATGTGCCTGTGGCCAGCTCCCAGAGCTGGAGGATGAGCTCTCTCTCCTGGACCCCTTCCCCCGCTACATGAAGTCCTGCCAGGACCTCATCATCCCTGAGCCATGCCACTGCGTAGACTCTCAGCCCTCAGCATGTGTTTCCCCAGAGACTCACACTCCTAGCAGTGCAGAGGCGGCTGACCTTGCCCGGGCCAGAGCACCATCCCCTGTCCGCAGCCTTCCTGGCCTGGAGCTTCAGCCCAGCCCAGGGCCCCAGCCAGATGTTTGCACTAAAGACTCAGTAGATGCTCCTTCAGAGGAACCCCAGGAGAAGGCAAGCTCCTTGGACCCCCCGCCACTTCAGGGACAGCCTTCTGTTAGGCCCCTGAAGGACATCCCTCCCAGCCGCCTGGCCCAGCAGCTCCGTGAGGAGGGCTGGAACCTGCAGACGTCTGAGAGCCTGACACTGGCCGAAGTCTACCTCATGATGGGAAAGCCAAGCAAGCTGCAGCTGGAGTATGACTGGCTGGCTGTGCTGGGTCCCGAGGGCCAGGCCCCTAGTGGCTCCCCACCTGCTGCCTTCCACAAGCAGCGCCTCCTCAGCTGCCTCCTGAAGCTCATCTCCACTGAGGTCAACCCCAGGCTGGTGAGTAAAGGTTGGACACAGCCCCACAGCACTTGGCCAGGAGTCCCACAGGCTGCTCAGAGAAGAGAAGGAGCCAAGTTCTGTGACCAAAGAGGTGGAGGTTCTTGCAGGCTATGTTTCATTTTGTAGAGCAGGGCCGTGCGGAACACAAGTTGGGGCTTTGGCTCCTTGCCAAGAAGAAGCCCTTTTCTTCCAGGCTCACAAAGGGTTCCAAAGAGGACAGTGACCACCAGGCCATGCCTGTTAGGTCTTGCCAGGCTCCAGTGATCCTGCTGAGCCCTGAGCCAAGGGGCCAGTGTACAGAGGTGAGGTGGCAAACTCAGCCAGGAACTGAACCAGATCCCGCTTTATCTAAGTGTCAGAAGTACTGCAGGTTTCATCAGAGTAGTGACAAGGTTAAGTTTGCGCTTTAGAACGGTTGTCCTGGGAGGGCAGCGGTGGCACAGCCTCGATGGAGGAGGGAACAAACGGGATGCTGGGGCTGTGGGCTGCACCCTGTGGGGCTCAGCAGTATGAGGCCCACTTAGGAGACCTCCACAGGTGGACCTCCATGGGTAGCTGTCCAAGAGATGACCAGTTGAAGTAGTCTAGGGCTCCTCAGCAGGGTCCATGGTGTGAGGTGGTCCCCGAGCCCAGGGAGCAGCTGTGAGGCCCAAGGAATGGAAGACCCTGCCACACAGACCAGTTTATGGCCCCCTACCTGGGCTGGCCAATTAGAGCAGCCGCAAATGGGCAGAGACTTTCACTGGTGGGAAAGTCTCATAGGCTCTCCTAGACACAAGAAAGCAGAGTCTTGGGGCAAGTAGTTCCCGAGATCGCAGTGTCTGCGTGATCTTAGGAAGATTGGAGGCTCACAGTTTCTAGGAGGAGCAGCTGAGGGAGCTGGTGGCAGTGGCTTTGGGGGACAGGTCAGGACTACAGGCTCACTGTTGACCCCTGAGTGCTAATTCACATCAGAACGAAGTGCAGGGGGCGCCTTGGAACACACATTACACCTCCTCTTTTCTTGAGCAGACAATGTGTGAACTTGCTGTTCTGTCTTGGTTTCCAGTGTGACTCTCCTACCAGGCTCTTATTTTCTCAGTTGCGCCTCTGCACAGTGCTTGCACAGAGGCTGTCAGTAGAGCAATGATGAAATGAATCAGGGCCTCATGAGAGAGGTGGCCCTTTCGGGGGTGGTTGGGGACTGGCTGGATGCTGTAGAGACTGGTAAGGCAGGGCCTGAGGATGAGCAATGGCCTTTGGATTTGGCAATGTGGAGGTGACCCTCTGGCAGGCATGGGTAATAATAGGGTAATGGGGTGATTGGACAGAAATGATGAGTTTAAAAAACTTTCAAGTTTGTCTTTTGGAAGGATCAGGAAAGGAGACTGGGGAACACATGAGTACGTTCTGTACCCTTGGGAAGGAGGATAAGCTAGGCTGGCTCCTGCAAAAGCTGGAAACAGCACATCTGAGGTGGCCTTGGCCTCACCTGAAGGGGAGAATTGAGCAAGTTGGAAATATTATTGCAGAGAATGCAAAGCAGGGTGCTCAGAGCCATGGTTTCTAAGTAGGTTCCCTGGCAACAGCCTCAGCATCACCTGGGGACTTGTGAAAGATGCGGGTTTTGGGGGTCCCACAGACCATGCATGGTTTGACACCCTCTACCAGGTGGTTCTGATGCAGCTCAGGTGTGAGAACTGCTGACCAAAGGCCCTGGCAGAGAATTAGGACCTTGAATGAGAGATGCATGGCCTGGCCTTGTGGTCTTCCTCCTGCTGAGGTTTGGGTGAAGCACACTGACAAGCAAGTTCCCTGGGGTGTCAGGATGCTGACAAGAGGCTGGCTGGGCACTCAGGCAGTTGAATAGTGAGATTGAATAAGCTAAGCAGCAATGTGGGTGGGGCTGGGGGAGACAGTTCCCACGGAAAGGAAACAGTAGCTCAGAGCTGGGGGCTGAAGAGCCATGGGAGGTACAGGAGGGAGGAGGTGCAGGGCCCCTAAACACCTACCCGACTGGTGACTTTGACCACTGGCGTTGCTGAGTTACTGAGGTACTGACCTGTGCCGTTGTGGAAGTGTGGTCTCTCAGCCTTTGCTGTCCCTCTAAACTCGGGGGTTTCTTAAGCCTTCTGCTCCTAGGCACTCATTCCAGAACCATTGTTCACAGGCTGAGTTAGGCTCTTGTTTTGGCCTTTTTCTGTCCTAGGCTCCGGAATCGAATGCCGGCTCTATGGCCTCAGTGAGGCCTGCCCAGGAGGAGCAGTTGACAACTGCCCCTGGGAAGGTGGTGAACATCAGTTCCCGGAGCCCCCGCTGCCCTCGAAACCAGTCTGCCCTTCGCAACAGCAAGACCTTCTCTCCCAGCTCTGCGCCTTGCCCCTCCTCAGGTGAGGTTCGACAGCTCCTTTCACCCAGATCTCACCGCCCCGGGCACCCCTCTGGGTGTGGGGGCTGTTCCAGGGCTGAAGGCACAGGGACACCTTAAGCCCAGCCCCTCGCAGTCACACTCTAGTGAGCGAGATTTAAATGACAGAAATTGCCACCTCGAGGGGAGGGTGAATGCGGGCCGGTCACCAAGGGCGTTGGGGGTCCTCCAGTGCAGGAGCCAGTGAGAAACATGGGGTGACTCTTGCCAGTTTGTTCACTTTGGGGGTATTGTGCATTGTGAGATCAGCAGAAGCCTTCATAACATGCTACATTGGCTTAAAGTCTGAGACGGTTTGGTTCCTTCTGAATCTTAAAGAGAATATATATTTTTTAATGTCTAAAATATCAGAGTAATCCTGACAGGCGTGGCCCAGTGGGTTGAGCATTGTCCCGTGAAATGAAAGGTCGCTGGTTCTGTTCTGGTCAGGACACATTAGCCTGGGTTGCTGGCCTGGTCCCTGGTTGGGAGTGTGGAAGAGGCAACTGATCAAGGGGCAGCCATTCGGTGTTTCTCTCACACACTGATGTTTCTCTCCCTCTCATTCTCCCTCTCTTCCATTCTCTAAAAATAAATTTTAAAACATCTTTTAAACATAAAAGCGTCAAGGCGCCTGAGTTCAGGGACTTGCCAGCAGTACGTCCCAAGTCCTGGAGAGTCTGACCTGCCCTGTGTTTCTCTGCCCCAGTTGCACATCTGGGGGGGTATTTATTTATTTGTTAGGTTATATTTATTTGTTTATTTTTGTCATCTTTACACTCAAGTAATTAACAGGGGCAGGCCCAGCTATAACAAACACACAGGGAAATGGGCAAGGGAGTAGACAGGGGCAGTTAACTGATTTGGTCTTGAACTTGAAATGTGAGGGTGGAAAAGTGATGATCCTTGGGGCTTGGAATGAGGACCAGCAGGAAGAAAACTGTCTGAGGGGGGCATGGGTATGCCCGAAGGGGTGAGGGACTACCCCTGGGGGCTCAGAGTTGAGAGGGAAGAAAAATGAGGCCCCTCCGCTGAGGACAAGGCACCTGGCTCGGTCTCCGCCTGCCCCACCCCACCCATGGAAGAGATGGGACCCACATTCCCTTGCTTCTTTCAGTGGCCCAGAGGCTGTTCCAGGTTGAGCCTCTGAAAGAAACTCGCCCAGCTCACACGTGCTGATCGTGGTGGCACAGGGCGGGGCAGCCTCGGTGATCCTTGGAGAAACCCTGCCAAGAGTCCCCTGGTGCCAGACTCAGCCCAGACCCTCTGCAGCAGCAGCCAGGTCAGTCAGCGTTCAGGGTCGACACTCTCACTGCCCCCACCACTCCCGGCGCAACCTGGTGTTGCGTCTTCACCACATCAAAGGGTACAGTCAGGAGGGCTGCCACTGTCCCTGAGATGCCGCCAGCCACAAAGCTGATGCCCACTGACGTCTGGTCCTTTGGCCTGAGCCCACTCGGCCTGCTCTTCAGCAGCTCCTAGTGGAACCAATACAGGGCTGAAAAGAGTGCTTCCCAAAGAACTGTGGGGCCCCAGCCCAGCCACAGTAAGCGCCAGCTGCCCTGAGCCATGGCGGCTCGGACACAGGCACCCAACTCCCAGTGTGACACTGTTGAACCCGAAGCTTTGTCTGTACCAGCTCTAGGGGGCTGATCAGAGTCATGGTGCCCAAGGGGGCCAGAGTACCAGCCACCATGGGCGCATAGAAGGGGTCAGGGCTCAACTACACGGGAAGGCCTTGAGTTGGTGTAGGCAGTGAAGTAGATGGCCGTGGCTGGCACAGTCATCACCAGTGTAGGTGGGAAGTCACTCCACAAGGTCCTGGTGCCCTTGTGTCCCAGTCTTCACAAAGGCATCCATGGTGCCAGTGAAGCGAGGGGGGGCCCTGAAACCAGGTGGCACAGCGGGCACCATTTGGGCACAGATACAGGGGCTCCGGGACACCATTGCAGTACAGGAGGCACTTCCCTTTGGCATGTGAAGGGGCTCCAGAATCTGGTGGGAGGCCTCAGTTCAGTGGCCACTGGGGGGCGTTGAGACTGCAGGCAAACGAACCTTCAACACATCCAGTGGGGTCCTGAAGAGAGGTGACCACAGCCCCAGCACCCAAGGTTGCTATTTGTTAGACGGCACTAATGTCCCCAGAATCCTGATCTTATAGCTTCAATTCTGTCTCTAGGTCAGTACTTGTGCAGCATGGTGCCCAGGGCTGGGCTGACCCATGGTGGCTCTGTGGCCAGTGCTGGGTCCATGCCCATTTTTTAATTTTTAGATGGAGGGGAAGGGAGGGGGAAAAGGAAAAGGCGAGAAACATTGATGTGCAAGACAAACATCTATCTGTTGCCTCTCTCACACCCCCTGACTGGGAACCTGGCCTGCAGCCCAAGAATGTGCCCTGACCAAGAACTGAACCAGTGACCTTTTGGTTTGCAGAACGGTGCCCAACCCACTGAGCCACACCAGGGCTATCCAGGAGACATTTAAATTTAGGGTCCTCAATTGGGTTACTGGGTATGTAAACCCAGGATCGACATGACTTGTTTCCTCTGAGACATCAGTTTTCTTTGCTTAGTACTTTTTAGTAAAACAGATTAACTACAGCTAAAATTATGGATTTTAAAGATAGAAAAAAAACATGCATGTGCCCTGCGGCCCTGCCCTTTGTGCCCCTGGCGTAAGTCTGCGCGGAGTGTGCCTAAGCCCGCTCCTTCCCTTCACTCACCAAAGTCTTGTAACTGCTTCTGAAACTGACCTGATGAGATGGGATGTCTAGGGATGCAGGGACAGCAGGTGCTGAGAGCTGGCACATTTCCTTCGTGTCCTGTGACCCAGAAGACTTCCACATTAGTCATGAAGAGTGTCATAACTGCTCCCATGGGCAGACTTTCTTGCCACCGCACCTTGGCCGTCCTGGACATCTGGAACATCCACATTGGCCAGGCTTTCTGTGCTGCTAACTGATGTAATGTGCACCATGCAAGAGGCAAGCTGGTCCTGCTTCTGCTCTTGCTCTGATCTGGACGGGTGCCCTAAAGCCTGCAGTAACTTTCTGGCCTAAGAGACCTAGTGTTCTGGTGTGTTAACAGTCCTCTAGGGCAGTGATTTTCAGCCTTTCTCATCTCATGGCACACAAACTACTAAAATTTTGCAATACACCAAAAAAGGTTTTTGTCAATTCCGACAAAAAATAGGTATGATTTTGATTCATTCACAGTATAGATGGCTATTGTTGAGTTGGCTGTTGCCTTTTTTTTTTTGACAGTCTAAGGGAAAAGAAGTCAGTGCCCCTGACTAAATGGTATTGCATGTTTCAGAAATTGTTGTGGTGCAGTTAGGAACTGTTGCTCTAGGGCTAGTTTTCACTCAGACAGTGTCACCAGCTCTGTGTGTTCGCTAACGTGCCGGGCTGCGAGTAGCCTGCCCGCTCAGTGCTTGGAGGTTCTGTTCCCGTGAGAGCACTTCCTAGGGCCCTCAGGAAATCCCGGCTGCCTAGTGTCGGGTTCAGCGCCTCCTGCAGGTCTCGTTTTCCTTTCTGCTCACCTTTATCCCGTTTCCGTGCTACTTGCTCATGAGGAAGGCGGCAGCGCCTGCGAATCGGTTCTTGCAAATAGAGGCATGGTACCTGCCGGTAAGACTATATAGTCTTTCTGTTGTTAAAATTTTGTAATTCCATGTACTCTTTTCTTTCCCCCAAGGTTTTATTTATATACTTTTATAGAGAGGGGTAGGGAGGGAGAAAGAGAGAAACATCAGTGTGTGGTTGCCTCTCAGACCCTCCACTGGGGACCTGGCCCACAACCTAGGTATGTGCTTTGACTGGGAATTGAACCGGTGACACTCTGGTTCGCAGGCCAGCACTCAGTCCACTAAGCCACACCAGCCAGGGCCGATGTACTTTTTAATATCCATCCTCTTTCTGAATTGAGGGTGCTTCTAGACCAGTGCACCTGCAGTGCTAGAATCCAGGCTAGTGCTTAAAAGACCCAGTCTTCGGATGCCATGAGTGTCAGTGTAAATTCACAGGTTTGCAAATAATGAATCAAGGGTGCTTTGCAGCAGCATCTGCAATAATAAAAACAGTATGTAGAGTCCCAAAACAGTGGTTCCTCAGTAAATATTTTCTGTCCTCAGAAATTGTGTAAATCTCAGAGATTTGCACAAATCTCTGAGTCTGTGTTTTGTGTAATTAGAGATTTAGACCATATATCAGCAACTATGGCACAACCTACTGGTTATAAATAAAATCTTCTCAACACATAGCTGTGTTCTCTGCTGCATACACATGTTGTCTGTAGCTGCTTTTGTGCTACAGGTTACAGTTTTGTGCTGCGGAGCTGAGTTTAGCAGAGGATGTTTGTGTAAGCCCACAAAGCAACATTTATTATTTGGCCCTTTAAAGAGAGTTTGCTGACCTCTGGTCTACACCAGATGTTCTGGTAGTTCCTCTAGTTCTGGAAAATAAAGGCATAGCTACCCTTCCCACTGAGGATCAAACGGCGGGAAAGTGCCTTTATCCTGCCAGGCGAGAGCTGTGATCTCACCATGGAAACTAGAATTTCAGAAAGATGGGAAAGTAGGTTTTTTGGGACTAAGATATAGGGAATTTCTTTCACTGAACAGGTTGTCAGGGATTCTTCCCGATTTTCTTCCCAGTGGGACTCCATTCACAGCGGAGATGTTTCTAGGTGACTATAGCTATGTTCACTTCCCCTTTTCTTTTTCTAGGTTTGAGAAACCCTCCAAGACCCCTCTTGGTGGCTGGTCCCTCCAGTACAGGAAGCAGTGATTCAGATGGTGGCCTTTTTGCTGTCCCAACAACTTTGCCACCCAACAGCCGACATGGGAAGCTCTTTTCTCCCAATAAAGAGACAGAATTGACTTTCCTTCAGCATCTGAACTCCATCAGCGTAAGTGCGAGGACTGCACCCCTGTGCTTGCTTGCTGACCCAAGTTTGCTGTGAAAACACTCTCAGGGATTGGGTGCTCTTTTCCTCACAGATGCAGTCGGATTTCTTCTTGCCAAAGCCCCGGAAATTGCAGAACCGGCACCTTCGGAAGCCACTGGTGGTCCAGGTCAGGAACCCTAGTCAGGTCTGCACAGCTTCCTGCTGGCCAAGTGGCGAGACACACTTTTTCTCCTGTGTCTCAGTGTTCACCTGAAATGGAGAGTCCCTGTCCCTTTCTTCCTCTTTCTAAATAGGATAGATAAAGTAATAACAGGGTCCCTAACCACATCTGAAATTAAAGATAATCTTTGCACAACATGAAAACTACTTGCCAAAAAGATGAAGTTCTGGGGATTCAAGTTTCAGGAACGTTCCAGATTAGTATGTATTTGAGGGCTTTCAGAACATCGCTTCATAAAAACTGCTTCAGTGGAAGCAGTTGGCAAGGTTTGTGGATTGGTCAGAGGCCAAACTGCATCAGTGTTCATAGTGATGATGACTGCGGGACCTGCAGGTGACATGTGCAGACCAGAGAGGAGATCCAGGAATGAGCTGCATGTGAGAAAGAGGGCGGAGGTAGAAAGATAAAAGGTGAAATGACTGCAGACTGAGAAACTTATCAATATTCGTTGTTTTGGGATTAATGCTTAGATCTCCTTTTGTTAGGCTCTTAGAAATCTCTTGAGATTAATTTATTTAGAAATGAAAGATTGCATGATGCGTCTTAGGAAGGAAGATGTATTCTAAATCCCAAGTGTTTTTGTGTATGCGTGCAGACTGTAGTTGGCTTTTGAACAGAAAGTACATTTGGAGCAGAGCAGGCACGTCTTTTAACAGGTCACCCCACCGCCTCACAGCGCTGAGCAGATCTGAGGGCCCTGTCCAGTTGGCAGCCCCAGGATCACTCCCTTTGCTCCTTGCCAACACTTTGGCACACCTCTGAGGAGCATAGGGGTGTCCTTGGTATGTCAGCAGAGAGGCAGCTGTGCCCTCAGAGCTGGAGGTCCTCAGGACACTTTTGGGTTGACAGATACTTTCTGTTAATGTTTTACTTTAAAGAGTAACCATTTCAGCAGTTAATGTTTCTTTAGATGGTATTTGTCACATTGGAACTTAATTATTCCCACACAAAAGTTCTGGGCAGATAGGCAGGCGTGGGCACCGGGATGGGGTGGAGGGCCTCAGGCCCTTGGCCTGTATTACAGCCAGCAACTTTATTTTCTTCTTCTTCACCCCAAATTTGAGGAGGCCCAGAATAAGCGGGTGTCCTTTGTAACAGTCCACACTGAGCAGTTATAAAGAGATGTATGTGATTAGTTGCATTCCAGCCAAGTCCAGAAGAACTTTCTGGATTAACAGTGGATGGCTCTGACATTTCTGCAGAGAAATGCAGAGCCATTTCCCTGGGAGAAGGTTTGATCTCTGGGATTCAGAGAGGACACAATGTTCGGGGCTCTGTATCCACAGGGTATGTTCGTCCTCAGACTTTTTCAGGAGCCCTTGTGTCATTAGCTCTGGAACCAGAGCCATCTGGTCACGCTCAGCTTGCCATTAACTGGAATATCCATTTATAACTCTTCCCTGCTTTCCTGAGTGATATTTGGTATTGGGGTTTTTCTTGTCACCTGATTGTTGGCAGTTTTCCCTCCACAGAGAACCCTGCTTCCTAGACCATCTGAAAACCAGTCCCACAATGTCTGCTCCTTCTCTATCATGTCAAATTCCTCCATAACTGGTAAGCACTGGGGCTCCTGGGGTTGGCTTTTCACTCCACCTTACTCGCATGTGACCTCATCTTTGGGAATGGCGGGCGTTTGCTTTCACAGCTCTTGGAGGGCATTTCCAGCACTCACCTGTCCAGTCTGCCAGCCGACACTGAGTGTGCCCCCGGCTGGGCCCAGGCTGCAGTCGGGCAGACGTGGACTCTGACAGGTGGGGCACAGGCAGCTTCCTACGAGGGTGGGCTTCCGTGGCCTCTCAGGGACCCTCTGCTTAGTGTAGTCTGCCCTCTCTCTGATGTCTTGTCAGGCTTTTTGTTTCTTTGTTTTATTCTTTGGAATAGATGTGACCTTGGGGTGTACAACTTAGGCCTTCCATAGGTCTCTAAAGTCACTGACTGCCCTGGCTCTGTCTTACTTACTTCAGTGAGAATTTTTTAGTGAAACACATACTCTATGATTTAGTTTTTGAATCAATCTTGATTTTCTTTTTTTAAGGTTTTTTTTTTTTCCTTTTAGAGGGAAAGGAGAGAAGGAAAGGGAGGGAGGAAGAGAGGAAGAAAAACATCTATCTGTTGCCTCTCCCACGCACTCCCCCCCATCCCCCCAAGGTGACCTGGCCCGCAACCTAGGCATATGCCCTGACCACAAACCGAACAGGTGACCTTGCAGTCTGCAGGCTAATGCCCAACCCACTGAGCCACCAGTGAGGCCTCAGTCTTGATTATGACATTTCAGATTTCCTTAACTGCTAGACCCAGACAGCTGTCGATTGGTTTTTCTCATTTCTCGTTTTTATCTGCAGAAAGCCTAGTAGAAAAGAGCCCAATTGCAGAGGCAGAATCTGAGTCCAAGATTTGATGCTCTGACTTTCTCAGAGGATCTTGTAGGTTAGCTCAGGTGTGCATCACCCTTAAAGAGCTCTCACCAGGGGATGACAGTGCTGACCGACGTTATCCCCCAAGGGCACAGCAGTGCCGCCATCATGGATGCCAGAGTTTTCTCCTCAGTGGGGGCCTGTTTGACCTCCAGCTTCTTCAAGTTAGCACATATTCGCAATGTTCAGTGTGGTTTCCACCTTGCCTCAGCTTCCGTGGTCCTGACTGGCTGTGAAGTAAACTCTGTAGCTCCCACCGTGCGCTGGGGGCAAGCGGGCTTAATGCAGCTGCTTTCTGTTCTTGTTCTCACAGGGAGAGGATCGTTCCGGCCCATCCAGTCCTCCCTGACCAAAGCGGCTCTGTCTCGGCCAATCATGCCCAAGGTCCTTCCACCCCAGGCCACAGGCCACCTGGCCAGTAAGTTTTTGTGACCAGGATGGAGACAGACACCACTGAGGGTTCTGAGTGATGTTTCTGTTTTCTTCTTCCCCAAGCCATGCTGTCTTAGTGTCCTCCAGAGAGAACAGGAGAGTCATTGCCCTTGCTCATCAAAATGAGCCATGAGGGAGAGGCTGTTCCTGTGAGCCCTGTGGAGCGTGTTTGGGATGTCAGTAGAGCTTGGGTTGGCAGTGTCTTTTCTGTTGCCAGGTGCTGTTGACTTAGCAGCTACAAGTGCTGGCATTATCCCCGGGAGCCCCCTCCCCGTCTTGGACGCCGAGGGCTTGTCTGGCATCTCTCCACTGTCTTCGGATGAGGCGACAGCTACCCTCTCGGGTCACAACTCTACTGGCACCCACCAAAATAGAGACCCTATTCCCACTGTGGGGGTGAGTGTTTAGAAGGGCTTCTCTGAGCTACCACCAGCTCTCAGGATGGGTTGGTCACTCTCCAGAGGGAAGGGAGCCAAGATAACAGGACTGAGGTCATGCTGGACTCCAGTTCTGCCTCAGGAGGGGACAGGTCGGGATGGCTGAAGGAGAGCTGTAAATCAGAGAAGCCCTGGTATGCGTGAGTGCCACATGGCTCAGAGGAGAGAGCCATAGAAGGAGACAAAACTGCGAGAGGCTTGCTGGGTGACACTGGAGAATCAGAACTGAGACAAGGAAGAACTGTATGTCAGCAGACTTCTCTGTCAGCTTGGCCTGAGAAGGAACATGAACCAGGTTCATCGACATTGGGCCCAGTGGCCCCTGACCAGCACTCCTCTCCACCTTTGTCAGCCCTCAGGTTTCTCTGGTTTCACAGCCCAGCCCTGCCTGAAGACTGTGAGGTTTTGAATTTACAATCTTAAGTGCAGCAACTTGCTGGCCCACCCTCCAGAAGCAGTGGGCTTGCTTGTCCACACTGGAAGAGGTTTTCAACCTAGACCACAACGTGTTGGTCTGCTGCTGGTTGTTTAGGAAGCTGGGGAGTGGGATCACTCTTTCCTTAGGAGCTTAATGTCTCGCTAGCCTTTGGGCAGAGGACTGGCGGGCTGTGTGTAGGGGCTCATTGGCACTCACGATGTGTTCTTTCCTTGTAGAGTACAAGCGATCCATTTATCAGCATCCCCCCAAGGCCTGAGCAGGAGCCAATGACAGACGACTTCCAGGTAATGTGTGCTGATGGCTGCTAAGCAAAATAGCTACGCCAGGAACCCCCTCCAGTGCTGAGTCCCTGTCCTCCTGGTCCTGCCACCAGACCTAGCACCCCTGCTGTGGACTGCCAGGATGTGACAAGGACACATGGACACCCAGTGGCTTTGTTCTTCCATTGCCCAAATAGAACACACATTTCCCATCTATGGCTGATTCAGACACAGTTTTGGAAGATCAGTTTCTTGAGCTAAGGGGAGGAGGTTATCGGCTGGTAGCACTCCTCAGCGCTCACCTTCTGCCTGGGTGTTACCAGCTGTCTTGCCATCAGGGGAAGCAGGTCCAGGGTAGCATCCTAGAGTGGTTTCCAGAGAAGTAAATCCCCCACTGTGTTTCTTACTGGGAAGGGAGAGTTGCCTTCTAGGGTCATCACCTCTCTGTTGACTTGCCCATCACTTTGTTACCACCAAGAGGGGCTGAGGTGGATTCGTTTGCTCTTTATTAGGGATCGATTGTGTCTGAACAGCTCCCCATCTCCCACCAGGGTTCGCCTGTTCTCTCCTTATCAGAGCTGTCCAAGGCTCCTCCCCACAATGGACTGTCCACCTCGCCCTTGGCAGAGGGCTCCAGCACGCGGCTCTCCCCACCTAATGTTTCTGCTCTGCTGGATATCTCCCTGCCTGGCCCACCTGAGGACGTGCTCTCGCAGGGAGAGCCTGCTACTCAGATCAGTGACTCCATTATCGAGATTGCCATCAGCTCTGGCCAGTATGGTAATGCCCCTGCACACCCTTCTTGGAGTCAGTTCCCCATTAGGTTAGGGGATATGGGCTTGCCCTTGACCTCCCATCTGAGTATTTGCCAAACCTGCTGGGTATGTTTTCCCATTCCGTTCTCCTTTTGCATAACGAGCACCTGCCTTGGCCAGCAGAAGCAGGGGCAGCACAGGTCAATGAGGTATGCCTAGCTGGGATCTATGGCTGTTTATGGTCTGGTGAGATAGCTCCTGACCTTGAGACTGCTAGTGGGCCAGTGAGGCCTCTTCAGCCTGAAGAGATTAGATGGAGCATTGTCCTAGTTGGTTATGAGTCTGGGTGGACGCCTTTGGGTTTTGCATGTTCCAGGAGAGGGTTGGTCTGATGCCCCGATAGTGATGTAGTTGGCATCTACTGATGTGATTCAGACCATAGATTCAGAAGGAGCTGGGGTCACAGCCTGGCAGGGCATGGCTGTGGGCAGGTCATTGGCTCATTTGTGAACTGGGAATAGCGTGCACTTCACAGGGCTGTCGTAAGCACCTGTGAGGGGATTTAGGTGAAGTTCTGGGCATATAAGGCCTGACTCCATCAGTGATAGCTGCGGCTATTTTCATTCCCTAGTGTGGGCGTGTGTTTCTGCTGTAGGGGGAATCCCCTTCACAGACCAGTGTTGTTTATCCTTTTGGGGGGTCCTAGCAGTGTCTTAGGTCTCCAGAGTTCACTGGGCCTTAGTGGTAGGTTGAGGAAGCGGGGTGACACAGATATGTGCCATGTCTGACCCAGGATTTTGGTTGACAGGTGAAGGAGTCCCTCTTTCTCCAGCAAAACTAAATGGCAGTGACAGTTCCAAGAGTCTCCCCTCCCCATCCGGCAGCCCCCAGCCAGACTGGATTGCCTCACCCACCCACGACCCCCAGTGGTGCCCCAGTGACCCCACGGACTCATCCCTCAGCAGCTTGTTTGGTGAGTGTCGGGGGTGCCCAGGTGTGTGTCCTAGACAAGCAAGGGACAAGCAGGGCTCCACATGGTGAACTTACTGGGGGGGACTAGGATCTGGATTCTCTGTGCCATCTGGCAGAACTCCCTCTAGGACCATTTGCTTCTTTTCCAGGTTTATTTTTCCTTTACCACTTACATGTGAGAGAATGTCCGAATCTTCAGTGTGCAGTTTACTGAGCTTTGGCAGATATAAACCCTTGTAACCCACAGCACAGTTGAGATGTAGCCCACGTCCATGTCCCCTGTGCCCTTCTGCAGCCCAGCCATCTGTCCTGGCCCCTTCCCAACCAGGGTCTTCTGTTCTTGCTGCCAATAGTGGGGAGAAGTTGGCTTTTTATCCTCTTAGCCTCCCTCTTTTTTTTCTCAGCAAAGTATTCTGATGTGGCCAGTCCAGCTGTCTTGTGGCACAGTTTGGCACATTTGCAGGGTGTGTTCATCCTCACGGGGCCCCAGGTGTCTGTGTGATGGGAGGCGGGTGTTGAGGAGAGGCTCACTGGCCTCCGTGGGAAGGGCTTCTGAGACATGTCCAGATCCACGCACTTCGCCTTTTTAGAGAGCAGCCAGCACGTACACGTGGCCGTTGGACTGCAGCCCCAGGGAGGAGTGCGCTGTCCACATGTTGAACGGGGTCAGCACCCTATGTGGGTGCCACACCCGACAGCCCAGAATGTGGCTCTGCGCTGGGTGATTCAGGGAGCCAGCACCCGAAGAGTGTCTCTTGTTATATCAGAGCCCCATGGAACAGTACAGACCACTGCAAAGTCAAGTACAAATTGTGAAAACTTGGAAGCCACCTTACATGGAGGTGGGAGTGGTGACTGGAGAGCGGAATACTGAGCACCCCTGGAAATATGAGGCCAACTTAAGTGTGCTTCTGGGGACCCTCCCAGGCTCCCTGAGAAAAACCAGGGCAGCCGTGGCTCTACACAAAGCGCGGTGTGTGGGCAGAGGCCTGCGTGCTCCTGGTGAGGCCACCTCCAGCCCACAGGGTCCTTCTCTTGGCCTGGTGCTAACCAAGCCAGTCTCAGGGCTTGTTCCTCCTTCTCTTGGCAGCAAGCTTCATCTCCTCGGATAAGGGCCGGAAGATGCTGCCGACTCCCGTGGGGACCCACAGTGGCACCTCCCTGCTGGGCCCCAGCCTGCTAGATGGAAACTCGAGAGACTCGTTTGTGTCCAGATCCTTGGCCGATGTGGCAGAGGTAAGTACACCGCCTCAGGCATGAATTAGACTTCCAACCCATGTACCAGAGGTGGCCAAGTCCCTTCAGCTGACCTGTTTGGTTATTAAGAACTATTCATCGTGATGTCAAAACCAGGAGTCAGCACACGCATATCCAGGTCTCTGGCTTCTGAGAAGGGAAACTCTGGTGGCAGACAACAAAGTAGTAGCTGAGCCCTGAAGGTGTCAAAACCTGGTAAGTCCCGTTGTCATGGTTGACTGTGGGGACTCTGAGGCTAAGCAGATCTTGTGTCCTCCGCCAGCCGCTTGGCCTCAGGCAGGTAGCACTGCCTCTGTGGTGCCGACGTTCCTGGTAGAGGAGTCAAGAGCACTCGCAGGAGGCTGTGTCGTCGCTGCTGCTGTCTGACTGGAGGGAGCCTTCGAGCGGCACCCACCTGTCTCATTACTTGTCACTGCCCCCCAGGCAGGACAGGGGGCTCTGCAGGAAGGGTACAGGGACTCCCATGGGCTCCTCTCATGGTCAGGGTGATGACCATGAAGTCACACTATGGCAGACCCTTGCAGTAGAGATGTGCAAGCAGGACTCGGTGTGTGACCCTCATCTGTGGACCGGAATGCCCTCCTTCTTAGGCCAGGTTGTCTACTCGTGCAGCCACCCCGACTCCATCCCACACGGTGTGAGTAGTGTCTGGGCAAGGAAGGCTTGCAAGGACGTACAATGGTTGAAGGAGTGGAGACAGGTACATTTAACTGTAAGGCAAGGGACAAAGTAACAGGTGCTGAAGAGAGAGTTTATGCTTAAAGTGACATCTAGAATGCCACTCGGATGGGCTTTGTCCTGTTGTTAAAAGTCCTAGGGCAGTATTTCCCGCACTCTGGTTCCCTGGGTTGCTGAGGGATTCGTGAGTGTCCCTCAAGGGTTTTATAGTGACATTCTGGAGGGAAGCCCTGGCTCAGAGGAGGCTCACACAGTGGCGTCCCCTGGCCATTCAGCTCCCGGTATCTCCACGCGAGTCTTACTAAGATCTGAGGAACCTGATGGGAAGGCTTTGGAGGATTCTCAGCTGACCCCTGGTGTGAGTAGAAATTTCTGCCAAATACAAGCTAAAGAGAGCAATATAATAAATATAGTAAATTGCCTCCCTCTTGAGCATTTTCGTGGCCACAGAACCTTTGTTTAGAGAACGTTTCTTGACTCTTAATGTCCCCCAAAAGGCTGTCTCTTTCCCTTCCTGTGTCTGTGTGGACGTCGTTTATAAGCGCCTAGCTCCTGTGAAGGTGGGCACTGCACAGACACCCCAAGACAACACGCCAGGTGCATTCATGGACTGCTAAACCCACATCCAGTAACACACGGTCACCTGCAGAAACAGCAGGTGTTTATCAAAAGGATCTGACCAGACACGGCGCACATTCAAAAACATGACTGTTTTTAAGATAGTCTTTATCATGTAGAAGTGCAGTTTGAAACGTGGCCGAAATGATCTGATGGTAGGATTTGAATTAAAGTGATGGGAGCAGAGTGTGCTGGAGAGCAGGGCCTAGACTGGCCACGGATTGATGAGGCTGGTGACGGACGTGTGGAGGGAAGGCAGTCACTGTTCCCTCTACTTTTGAAAACAAATTGCAGTTTGTTCTATTTCTCATAATAAAAGTTTTAAAATTCAGTTCAGGCCACACCTCTACTCAGAATTTTCCAAGGCTGCTTATTTCATTATATCGTGTAGTTCGTCGATGACGTTCCAAGCACTGTGACAGGCACTGAGTGAATGAAACAAACCCTTCCGCCAGAGGCTTCCACTCCAGTAAAGGAGACTGTGTGTTCCACGTATTTGTCCACAGAATGAAATGGCAGCACCTAAGAGCTTCCCGTGCACACTTGCGGCTCTCTCTCCTTGTCCTCAGCTCTTCCGTACTCACCGTCCCGTCCAGGAGCTCTCTCACTAATGACAGAGCCGAGGCCTGTCCCACCCCAGCCTCTTGCACTTCCTGTTTCTTCGGGCAGGAATGTGCTCACCGCCCCCGTGGCACACTGTCCCCTGTCTCCACTTAGGTCTCCTGGGCAGCCCCACAGTGTCTGTGTTCCACTCTGTGCCATGTGTCTGTCTGTCTGACAGTCTTCCCCCCACAGTCTCATAGAGAGGGAACCACCACTCAGACCCTGGCAGCCAGTTGCGCCAGGCTCACAGCAGGCTCCCTGCACACTTGTCAAAACAAGTGAGAATTCAGGCTGCAGCACACGGGCAGGGGTGGGGGCAGGACCTCCACGGCGGCCCTCTGGCCTTCCTCCTCTCGACATTGTATTTCCTTACATCAAAGAAAGTGTTAAAGAGTATTCGCACACACATCGGGTCGGGAAGAAGAGGAGCATCGGCAGGATGTCGGTCTTTTGAGGAAACAGGTTCTTTGAAGATGTAATTCCAGCAGTCAGGAAGTAGAGGCTGCTGTGTATATATTCTTGTGTAGAGGCACAGAAACTATTATTTGGGCTTTCTACAGAGGGAGGCATTCTTGTTGGTCACTGTGATACCAAGATTGGACACAAAGGGGGGAGTGAGAGTTACTGAAAAATTGCAAACAGACCGGGTGCTCGGCCGGCGTGTTGTTTCTGACAGACACAGTCTAGAGGCGTGTGCTGCTGAGAAAGCACATGTGCACACAGCTGTGGGGTGGGGCCTGGCCGTGCAGTGCTAGCACATGGTGGGCAGGCTCACTGCAGCCTGGTCGCATCCTTCAGCGGACTGCACCTGCCTTCCCCAACCAAAGACCAACTGTCTTCACAGAGTTGTTCCTATAGTCTAGTTTTAATTCTATTGTTAAAAGTAAGTTACTTTAAATATACATATACATATACATATACATATACATGCAAGTATATGTGCGTGTGTGTGCAGGTTACCTATACAGGCACAGAAGTGAGGGGAAATCTCAGTTCAGTGAAAAAGAAACTAATTTAAAGATGCTTTATATGTAGAAATTGTTTGACTCTACAGTTCTCACACTTACTGGGGGCAAAATGTAGTTGTTAGAGGAAATTACTATAATGTACATCCAGTGTGTTGTGTTGATCAAGTTATGTACCAAAATGGAAAGATAGGTTTGAGAAGTTGTTCGGAAGCCTTGGTATTTAAAAAACTGGCAGTATTTCAAAGACATACTCCTAATAATTCATCTCCCCTTCTAATTATGAGCTAGAAGATTACAGAAGCTGAATTTCAGAATATTACCTTCCTTACATACTAAGGCAAAGTTATTTCTGCCCCAAAAGAGACAAAATTGGGAAAGGAAGTTCATTTGAGCCCTGATCAATCACACATCTGTTAAGAAACTTATTGGTTTTTGTGGCACCCTCAGTAAGCAGTTGCCTTGTCAGTGAACAAGGTGCAGTGATGTTTCAGGTAAAATAGAAATGTGGTTCTTAACATCTTAACATTCTTAACAGAACAGTTCTAATCCTGTCGTTTGTTATCACTGTTAGATTTCATAGTTGCCTTTCTAACTCCTTAGCACGGTTTGAGAAAATACATTAATGCTGCTTACTAGTTAAAAAAAAAGTTTACTGAAACCAGTGTATAAGACGTAGAAGAGCCCTACTATGTACTCTTTTCCTCAAAATGAATGTGAGAAGTAGAAATTTTCTACCAGCATATTTATCCTGGTTCAATTCTAATGGGATGTCATGTTAACTTCATGTTATGATTAATAAAAGTATCTTCTTACTCAAAAAAAAAAAAAAACCCAGAGTATAAAAAGATGGGCTATTCTGAGACCCTTCCCAGAGTGCTGGGCTGCCATTACACGGCAAATCGCTGGGAGAGTACAGTCTTCACTGTAGAGAGACTTCAGGTCTCAGGTTCGTTTGCCTTAGACTGGAAGTCCCAGTGGTGGCCATTCTCCTCCAGTCTAGATGGCAGACCACCACCAGCTGATGTCTTGCCTTGTGTCCTCTGCCCACAGGTTGTGGATTCCCAGCTGGTGTGCATGATGAACGAAAACAGCGTCGACTACATATCTCGGTTCAACGACTTGGCCCAGGAGCTGTCCATTGCTGAGCCCAGCCGCCGAGAAGTTCTGTTCGATGGCAGTGGAGGTGCACCCCCTGTCAGCGACCTGTCCCAGTGAACGTACCTCATCATGGGGGCATCCTAGAGGCATCATAGGAGGGCTTACGGGGCTAGTGGTCCTCAACTGTGGTGGGTATAGCCCTCTTCAGACTAGAAAAACACAAATCAAGCCCAGGACCCCCAGAAGACGGTCAGAATGGAGACACCTCTGCACTCCAGAACATGCAAAGTGCTGGAAGTCGTGTCCCAACAGGCATAGGGCAGCAGTGGCCTGGGAGATGAGGCCGAGTTCTGGAAGGGTCAGTGTCAGACATCACTGTGGCCTTGGAGCGGTTCTTCGTTCTTCACCAGTTGTGGGATCTCATATTGGGGTCTGCGTAACGACTGTGTATCTCCACCCAGGCTTCTGCCTTGTTTGTTGTCTTGGACAGTCCACTGGGTTTTAACTTTCTGAAAGAAAGGGGTGCGTCCTGGGTATGTCCCGGTGTAGTTGTTGTGTCGGGGAAGTTGTAATCTCCCTGCTCTCTGCAGGGAGCCTCCAGACCATGGCCACATTCTTTCTGCCAAACCTGTGCCACACTTTGGTTGCTTCTCTGCAGAGTGATGATGGAGGGAGGCAGGGTGGGGGGAACTGCTAGGCCTGGCCTGGGCTTTGCCTGGTGATATCTGCACCCATAGACAGCAGACACTTCAGGGGACACTGATCACAGGGCAGCAGGAGGGTCCCAAGTCAGTGTAACTGGTGCCATCACCCCAGGAATACTGATCCTGCCTGGTGCTTCCCCATCTGGATGTTTTTTTCCAAACAGGGAAGGGAAGAATCATGTCTTCTGCATGATTGTGTGGACTTTTAGAAAAAATCCTGGTAATCTGGTGGGAGAATGTTTCTCTTATTTGAAGAATTAGACAATGAAGAGGTAAAACAATTTAGTTGGTTTCCTTCCTGCATCCATCTCCAGGTTTCCTCTAGGTGAGGATCTACAATGTTACTTCTCTCTATTGGGATGATGCCTGAGCTCTTGTTTGACTACAGTTAAGACTTTCCTGATGCGTTCTTGAACTTCTGGTGTGTTACTGTTTGGCATCTGTGACCATTCGACTGTGCAGGGATGGTTTTCTCCTTCAGTCCCTTTTGCCTTTTGTTAGCCTAAGAGCATAAAACACTATGATGCATAGGTTTAATCCCTTGTGTCTGCTTTTGTCCTGTGGTCTCCTATTTCACTGCGTCCTGGTGCAGTTAGAGCGCTAACCACATCCCTGTGTTGTGCTCTGTGAACTTCCCTGGGTGATCAGTTGTCACCCCTGCAGGGGGTCCAGCATCTAGTTCTTCCACAGAACGGAGCTATAACAAGGCTCCCACTAGCCTTTCCAGGAGTTTTTCCTCTAACGTGGCTTCCTTCTTTCAGACCTGGTTCTAGGCACAAGCATCACTCACAGGAAAAGTTCCAAAGCTCTGGAGATATGAAAGAAAGGGACCCGGCGCTGCGTTATTAAAAGATATAGACAGCATTGTTTGAACCAGAGTATCTTTAAAGTACTTGTGTTTTGTGATCAGTATATCAGCTTCCCGAAATTAGTACCTTATTGAGCTGAACAAGATCAGAATATCTTTCTCTGAGCATCTTACTTTGTTGGGTCTGCAGTAGGTTAGGAAACCAGGCTGAGCTTAGGCCACAACTAGCTTCCTCATAACTCTCCACTGCGTGGGACCAGAGATGCCAAGTAATGTTAGAGCACAGATGCCAATGGCGGTGTGTGCTGTGCCAGAGTTGTAGGGCTCCTGAGCTGCGTGCGTGTTCATCGGGGGACACCTGGCGGCAGCTGGTCAGTTGGCACCTGTTACTCAGTGATCCAGAAAAGGAGAAAACTCTGGAAACTCAGATCAGCTTCTGTAGGCTATTTGGTAGCACTTCCTGCCTAGGTCTCTGGCATAGGCTCCATTTGGGAGTTGCTGACTGGCCGGTGTCATTCATTGGGGGAAGTGGGCTACAGAAAAGAGTAGACGAACTCTTCTCACCTGTAACAACGTTCACAAGTTTTCAGAGAATTCTGCTTCTTTAGCAATCAGATACTTAATATAAGTGTTTGTTTGCCATATTAAGGGGGAAATGGTGTCATTTGTAGCATTATAAGGATGAAAGCATTTTTTTCCCAGCCTAAGTGAATATTAAAATAAGCAACTGTTAGAGGCTAAAATTTGCAAAAGACCCAAATAGGAAAGCCTCCCGTCTCCTGCATCTTTCTCTGCCTTTCCGTGGAAGTTGTACTAGTTTCAGTATACACCTGTGGCTTCCTTGTACATTTGCACATGTTGTAATTAAGAACAGATCGGTTTCTCAGAGACATGTTTTCCTGGTCACTCTAATGTCGTCTAGCATCTTTTTGCTGATTCATCTTTTATGAAGAGTGACTGTCTCTGGTCTCGGGGGAGTTGGTGTTGTGGCCTTGGTTCTTACTGTGACTGTCCAGTGGTGAGCATTCCCTTCTCTAAAAACATGTACATCGGTCATCACAAGGTTCCACATGAAGTTTGTGATGACATTTTTTATTTCTCTGTATCTTCTGGGCGTAGAGCACTTGCTCTACATCCAGGAAGTGGGGATAATTGGAAACATTTCATCAGCTAATCTACTTGCTTTCTCACATCTTCAGGTTCTCAGCCTCAGAATCTCATTCTTTAGCATTCTGTATCATGGCCTCAATTCTGATGGGTGTCTCTTTCAGTGTAATAACATTTTAACCGATATCACACCATGGAACCCAAACTTGTGCAGAAAAAAGTTATGGAATAAAACACTGGAAACAAGCGGATGAGGAGCAACCAGCTGCTGTGGGTTGTTTTTGTTTTTTAAGGCATTGAGATCTATCAGATGCATTTGTGAGGAAATAGGGCACTTTGTCTTGAGAGGGGAAAAGAACCACAGCAGACCTTTCCTGTCAAAGCTCTCCTAATCCCACAGTAGTTTGTAAGTCTCACTAAGTTCAGGCTTGGAAGCACTACAGCAACCTGTACCCTTTGTTCTAAAACAGGATAACTGGCTCCAGAGCTTCTGGTCTGGGCAGCGGAATTTACTGCTGTTTCTTTTAAATAATCGTTAAGCCATATCATATAAGGTTTTTGGCTTGTTTGAGATGTGAATTTGTTTTATAGATAATAAATATACATATACAATGTATGTATAAAGCAGAATGCCTGTCCTTCCTGATTACTTTTTGTACCATATTGTAAATTACATTATTTATTCTTTACCAATTTTGGGAATAAAAGGTGTTTCGGTTATTTAATATAATAAACAAAAGCTGTTAAACTTCTTATGTTTAAATTTCCAGTTTAACTTGTAAATGTTTTTATTATTGTGCATAAATACATACTAATACTTGATCTAATAACTTGTTTCTGCCTTTTTTTAAGAGCATTTTAAAAACAGTTGAAGTGGCTTTTCATTTGGTTGGTGAGCTCTCAGAAGAATAGAAGGGCTGTCTGCAGTGTAATTTATTAACAGAACAGAACACTGCCGACTATGTTTTACTTTTGTTTTTGAGTCGAAGAAGGAACTGGCGCACTTTATCCCTTGCTCCCTATTTATGAAGATGTCTTTCTGAGGCGCTCCAGGACTGGGAAGGACAGGAACTGCCGAATCCCTGAACAGATAATTCGGATTAGTGGCCTTTGCCAACCACCGCACCTGCCATTGACTAGTTTGCAAAATCCACGGTCTCCTGACAGATATTTCCACCATCCCTTCAGAATAAACAGCGAGTCAGTGGCCTTGGGGAAGTGGTTGCCTTCTAAGTCTAGACTTGGCCCCCCTGCCCCCTTACACCCGCGTGTCTGCGTCCCCAGGGCCTGTCTTCGGCCCCTCGTGGCTGTCGGTAGGGTAGCGCGCTCTCCGCCCAGGAAGCATTCCAGGTGAAAGGCCTGGAGGGGAGTGGGTTGGGTTGGCCTCAGGCCGCCAGCTGCAAGAACCTACGTCACGGCCCCGCCCATCGGGGCCAGCCCGCCTTCTGTTGGCCTCCTGCCCAATGCTGATGCCTGACACCAGCTCCCACCAATTGGCTGAGAGCATGGTCCTCCACAAGCTTCGGCCTCTGGAGTGGGGGTGGGACTCGGTGCCATGATAGGGTGCCGTAGCGTGACCAGCACCGGCGTCATCCAATAAGTGCTGGCGGGAGAGTCTTTGGCTGCGCGGAGCCTGGCGGGAACCGCTGTGCGGCAGACGACGAGGGGCTGAGCGGCGGGCGACATGTTTCGTGTTTCGGAGAGCGAGGGTGGCCAAACCGGCTCCAGGTGCAGCTCGGGCGTGGGTGCGGGTGCGGCCGGTGGGGAGGCTGTCGGGTGACCTCACAGAGCCGCAGCCTTAGCTTCGGCGTGGGAGAGATGGGCAAACAAGCGGATGGGCTCCCACGCCCGCCGGCGTCTCGGCTGAGGGCTGGAGGTGCGCCCTTCCGCATTTTTCATACATAGCGCGCCTGAAGGATGTCGCTCAGTGGTCTGCTACTTGGGATGGGCAGTTCCGGGAGACTGGACAAAGCGGGTGTGTGGGGGCTGCGGGGCGCCCTTCTGGAGCCCATGTTGACCCCTGGAGCGCTGCTGAACGCCCCGAGGAAGGTCACCATCCTGAAGTCCTCCCTTAATCTCAATCCCTTGGAGCCCTCCCCTAATTTCGAAACCCTGTGTAGCCAGGTGGAGCCTTCCCCTAATGCTGCAGCCCGGGGAGGCAGGTGATACCCACCCGAAGTGCCCCAGCCCAGGAGCCAGGCTGTGCCCATGTCCTCATCCCAGAGCCCTGGGATGTAGTTGTGGCCATTCCCTAATCCCGCAGCCCAGGAAGTAGGCAAGGCACTACTCTCCCTATTTTGCTGATGGTGAACCAGGCCGTGCTACAGGTAATAGAAACGGAGATCTTACTGCATACCACAACATGCTTTTTCTTTTTCTTATTTGTTGCTCTTAGAAAACCTCATTTTTGACTGGACTCAGAGGTAGAAGCTCTCAAAGAGAACAGACTATGTCTCTTGGCAAAATCTGTTCCTGGTGGGGTGTTTTGCCTTCTTCATTTTCTTAGCCAAAAGTTTGGCTTGTTTTGCAGCCTCTTCTTTATTTTTCTTGGTATGTTGCAGACACATGGAGTACAAGAGGTTGAATACTAGATGCTTTTGTCCTAGGTTTCTTACCTTCTTTGTTTAGGGACTTTCTCAGAACGTGTTGGTAGACATCATTTTCTTCAGAGAGGTTGAAAGTTTGCGGATTCTGCTAGCTCTTTTGGGCCCCAGGTAACGAGGCAGGAATGTCTTTATCCCCTCCCCCCTTTTTTCCCCACAATGACCAAGTTGAGAACACTGAGATTGGCATCCAAAATGCAACCCTGAACTGATTTGCGCTTTCGCTCTCCAGTTCTTGGTCTGTAACAGAAGTGCCCTAACTCAGCAGCAGGTGGACATGGCCATGGGTCAAGATACCCTGCTTCATGGGAAAACCTTGTTTGTTCCCACCACTGATTCAAACCACATAACCCTTCCACTCTTCACCCAGAGCATCAGCAGCAACTTCTATGGCCATACACTTCTAAAAGGTGCCAAGTTTGTGTTCATTGTCCACCTCAGTGAGTTTCTGGCAGCCAGTGGCTGGGAAAGAGATGTTAAGCTTCATTCTAAAGCAGCTGTCCAAGGCACTGCGAAAAAGAACACATTTTCTTTTTAACTTTAAAGCATTGGAAGTAAGATACATTAGTTGCCAGAGCTGCTGAGGTCTCATGCCACTGGGGAGCCTGCTTGCACTGTTGAGTTTTGGGTCTTAAGATGCCCAAGGGTTTTCTTTCTTATGAGCTCTTCTATAGAAGAGACTGTGTGTGTGAGGACTATTGAGACAAATACTGTATACTAGATAGTATATAAAAGAACTGTTTGAACTTGCTTAAAAACCTTTAAATTTGGTGGAGTCAGGGTTAATGCCCTAACTCATTAATGCCCCTAAGAATTAAGTAGTTGTTAATCCATGGATCAATGACTATTAATCACTTGCATCTAAATTTATACTGATGGAGGGCAGAAGTTTCCCCTGGAGTGCTCAGGACGAATTGAGTTTCTGGTGCCTGGTAACTGCTGTTTCGTACCACCCACACATCCTCTTCCTAGAACTTTCCCAGTGGTGTCCATTAAGTATATCCCCTCATTGTTTACACTGCCTGCACTGGATGCCCAGGAAATGCTGGCTGAGTTTAGGAATAAAAGCCATGAGTAACACTGATGTTACACTGACCACAAGCTACAGTCGTTAGCTGCAGAGCTGGTGCTCTAAGGTAGTTCTCTCCACTTCTAGGGAGATTAATTTTTGGAGAGGATATGCTGAAAAGGAGAAAAGTCTTTCAGGACTTTGAAGAAGGAAAAGCAGTCTTCATAATTGGATAATTACATGTAATTGGAAGCTTCTGCTTGGGATTTGTTGGAAGCTTTGCCTTAAAGGACTTGATTAGCTAGCTAGACAGGCATTGTAGGGTTCACACTTTAATTGGCTGTGGAGGGAGGGAACTAAGTGGTGAATGTAGGGTTATTAAGTAACTATACAGTTTTTTGTTGGGCCGCATTCACAGCCATCCTGGGCTCTTTGCGGCCTGTGGGTTACAGGTCGGACACCCCAGGTGTATATTTGCAAAGAATTTTTTTAAATCCTCACCGGAGGATATGTTTTTACTGCTTTGAGAGTGAGGGAGAGAAACATGGATCAGTTGCCTACTGTACTGAGAGTACTGAGAGTTCGACCCAACCAGGGACTAAACTCTCAACCTTTTGGTGTACAGGGGTGATGCTCTGATTTACTAAGCAACCCAGCCAGGGCTATTTGTAAAGAATTTAATCCAAGTCTGTTTCCCTGCTTCTCTCCAAACTTGACCAATCCCCAAAAGCTCTTCTGACAAAGGGACGAGATATTGGAGGGTCAGGAACGCGGAGACCCACCCCAGGCCTTGTTCTCTCTGCTCGTGCCATAGAGTCCCTGCGCTGTGTGTGCCGCCTCCTCTTGTCACACACCCCGTAACCGCTCTTTTGTATTTTGAATAATTTTGTTGAAATATATTGAAATGCAAAAATAACTGGGGGGCATCCCACATGTGGTTTTAGTCCCAGAATGTCTGTGCTCAGTATTCCCATGCCCTCCCCCAAACTGGTGTCATAGTGCTAGCTGATGGTAGAGCCTCATTAAGCCATTGATAACGGTTTCTGTTTTTATTGAAACGTCTGTGTAACTCTTCACTGTCCAGTTTATCTGAGACCCCGTTGAGGCAACTCTGCGCAGTCGTGTCGCTGCCACACGTGGCCATGGGCCCCGCTGCCTTTGTGCTGGAAACGACGGCCCGGCTGTTATGTTCAGGAATCTCTGCTGCAGCGTTCTTGGGACCATTAATTTTTTCTTCCCTGTTTTCAAAGTAAAATAAAATTCAGAAAAGTACAGAGAATAATAGAATAAACAGTACATTTCCCCCACTCCAGGTTAGCATGTCATTATTTCCAGCAGCTGTGACTTACCTACCTCCTGTGCCCCGAAGGTGCTGTCTGCTCACTACGATCGCTTGGGCCTTTCCTCCAAGCTCGTCTTTGAAGTTTCCATAACATTTAGTGCTTTTGTCACATCATTCCCGGTAAACCTGAAGCTTCTCTAAGCTAAAGACTTGCTCTTGCTCATTTTTTTGTCCACAGGGTCTGGCACAGACTTGCCAGCAATGGGTGATCAGCAAACCTGAGCAGTACTGGATGGAGCCAGGGCCAAGGCTGAGGAGGCTTGGGCGATCCAGGAGTGTAGAATGTGAGAGTCAGGAAAGCAACCTGAGAGCTTTGAATCAAGATGAGTCTTCCCCGAATCCAGTCTGACAAATCAGGGCACATTGTCGGTTTGAAAGAAGAGCCCTGTTTCAAATAAGTCAGTAAAATGGGCATATTAACTCATGCCAGCATGAGGTGGGATGTTAAATTCAGTTTAGTTCTGAAGATTGCAGGTCTCCACTCCCTTTTTCAAAGAGATGGCTTTGGAGACCCAGGCACGCTGGACCTGCTGCAGCGTGTCAAGAAAAATACGGAGACTGTCACTGTGACCAGAGCTCTGTGACTTACAAATGCGCACAGGAGTCAGATGGCCTCACTGTGTCCACTAATAAAGTGTGCATTCTAAAGTCCTATTAAGTCTTGTCTAATTTAATCTAGTTGTGGATTAGTTTTAAGATGTTTTTCCCTCAAGCTGAAGTAGTGTTTATTTCTTCATTAAATCTTAAAGAAAATCATAATTGCTGAACAGGCCCCCACCCTCACCACCCCCTGGCGCAGGCAGGGACTCCCGGCACCGCGTGGAAGGCCTGCCCGCTCTGCCCTTGGCTGCTTCTGTGGTGCTGACTGGTTGGCCAGCTGGTCTCTCTCCGGCCCGGGGCTGCCTCGTCTGCCCTCTGGAAAGCAGATGCGTGCTTTCCACAGTCCTGTTTTACTGCCGTGGAATCACTTTAAATCACAGCGAATGGTCAGCTCCCATTCTAGCTCTCTTGAGGAAGCATTTAAAATATCCTGTTATTTTTGTAAACCAAATCTTCCACAGTGTTTATATAGCTTTCCAGTGAGGCCTAACCTCAAATCGGAGCTTTCATGTGTCGAGCTCTACAGTTCATTTCGTTTCTCAATGTCATTGTTGCTTAGGATCATGAAAGAGCCTGAGCCACTCACCAGTTTAACACTATTTCAGTAGGCCCATCTCTCCTTTAATATTAAAAAAAAATTTTAGTGTTCTAAAAAAATGCTATAAATTCATTGTGTTGCTGCTTTGTGAAAGTAAACAAACTCAGGGGGTATTGGGGTAGAGCTTTGTGAAAATTGAATCCTTCAGTTACTGCAGTAATGACTCGTGGTCCTGATCTTTCTTCTGAAACGTCCACCAAGCTGCGCTTGTCAGGTCCCCACAGATGGAGGCTTCGGGCAGATGCCGCTGCTGTTGACTGAGCACCACTGTTCCCTGTAGATGTTTGATTCAAATCAACCCTCAGAATCCGGCCGACGTGTTTCAGAGATGACGCTTGGCGTGTAAGGGTTGGTCTGAAGTGAACAGTGGTGCTTGCAGGTGTGCTCTCTGATTGCTGGTGTTCAGCATTTCACAGGTTACTCCAGACCTGAGAACCGGAGGTGATCACCTCCTGGTGCAGTCTCAGGACTCACCGGGATTCCTGATGGATCACCTGGATGTTGGCACTCCCCAGGGTCTAAGCTGACACTTTCCAATACAGATGTGAGCCATGTAAGGAATACTAAATTTTCTAGTAGCCCCGTTTTAAAAAGTAAAAAGAATCAGGAAAAAAATTAATATGTAATTCAACCTATCTTGTACAAAACACTACTTTAACATATGAACTGTATAAAAGACAAGATTAAAGAGATATTTTGGCTTTTCGTCTCTGCAATCTGGTGTGTAGTCTACCCGTGCAGCACACCGGAGCCCTTCTACATCCAAGTGTCCGCGGCGGCCGTCGGCTGCCCTTCTGAAGACTCAGCTCTGTGGGTCAGGCTCGATTTGTGGTTACATGGTGAGCTCCCCCCTCATGTTTTGCTGGAGGCCTTTAAGAGAGGCGTTAGGGCGTAGTTTGAGTTCTAGGTCCAGGCTGCCTGGGAGTGGATCCCGTCTGCCGCTCCTTGTGTGGCCTGCCTCATGCTTTCGCTTTATCTCGGATTCATGGTCTGACGGTGATTCCTGCCTCAGCAGAGGCTGTTGTGTTAGGTCTTTAAAGCTGTAGCTGGCATATGGTAAGGCACAGTGTTAAACGCCACTGAATGTATTTATAGTATTTCACACTATAGTATTTAAAATTTGTATTAAATTCTACTGAATACAACTCAACTTGCCTGTCTTAGGGAAACTTGAACTTACTTGGAAGAGGTCTCAGGAATAATTTCAAAGTATACACAATTTCAAAAGGTTTTTGGCATAACCAAGACATACAAAGAAAACTCTTAAGGGAACTTTTAAAAGCAGTACAGGGAGCTTGCCGTATGGCTGTCTATAAACTAGTCTCGCCAGTATGGAATTTTTCCACGGACACTAAGGGAGTCGTACATTTGGCCCTGGCCGGATGGCTTAGCTGGTTGGACCATCATCCCATATACCAGTTGAAGGTTCGATCCCCGGTTGGGGCATGTATGGGAGGCAGCTGATCATTGCTTCTGTCTCTCACACTCCATTTCCCTCTCTCTAAAATCAATAAAATACATCCTTGGGTGAGGATAAAATTTGAAAAAAGGAAGTACATGTGCCCTGTCCGGTTTTGGGCATCGAGGTCCAGGTCGGCCGTCCAGTACTCACTCCTGCTCGCTCCGTGTCTGCAGGGCCATGAAGCCCCCTGGAGGAGCCTCGAGCGATCTTTTCGGAAGTCCAGAAGAAGGTGTTCCTTCAAGCCGACCCAACAGGATGGCCTCGAATATTTTTGGACCAACTGAAGAACCTCAGAACATTCCTAAGAGAACCAACCCCCCAGGTACGGGCCTTTGTGGCTCATTTGTTCTTTGGCCTCTCCCTGTTCTTTTTTAGCTGCTCTTTCGATAAAATTTTTTCTGTGTGTGCACGTGCGCATGTGTGTGTGTGTGTGTGTGTGTGTGTTTATCCTTTCACATATTTTCTGGTACAGGTTATCCCTTGCCATCACAGTTCTAGAATGTGAGGAAGACTTTTACTTGAAGGTGCCTCGATCATTCTCGAATTGTCCCTCCCCGTCAGCAGACATTGGCTGGGTGTAGGCACTGATGATGTGGACTCCCCCAGGGACACCTCCCCAGTTGTCCCATGGACTCCTTGAGATTCCTAAAATTGTACACAGATTATGTGTTTAAACATTTTTCTTAGGAAGGACATTCAGCGTGTTGATTGGTTAGAATCTCTAAAAAAGGACGACCTGGTCTAGCAAACATCTATATTGTTCTTACCCTACATTCCGGTGCTTATACTGGAAGAGCATCTATAACAGTGTTTTCCTTGGCTGATAGACTGTCCAGTCGAGTGACCATGCAGGGCCAGTTACCTGAAGAGCGCTCCCCTATCTGTATCCATGAGGAGAAGCAAGGTTCTTCCCGTCCTTAAAGATCTGAGAGGCCAGTCATAGGAATCAGTATTTCAGAAAAATAATAAAATCAAGCAGAACCAGAGCTAGGGCTGCTTGCTACTCCCAATTCCGGATACGCTTTTTTTAGAAAATAGGTATACATACAAGGGGGACCCCCCAAAAAACAGGAACTTATTTATTTAAAAACGTGTGTTTATTCTTACATGTTTAAACTTCATTCACCTTCAAAGTGCTCTCCACTTGATGCAGTTCACCTATTGAGCATTTTTTCCACTGCTCAAAACAGTTTTCAAACATGTTGATTTTGATGCCTTTTAGTGCTGCTGCCAATTTTTATTTCATCTCTTCCACATCAGTAAAACATTTCCCTTTCAGGACTTTTCATCCATCTAGGGAAACAAAGTCGCTTGGGTGATATCGGGTGAATAGGGAGGGTTGGGCACAGAGGCCATGCCATTTCCAGTTAAAAAGTTCTGAACACTCAGTGCATGTGGGCAGGTGTGCTTGTAAATCACCCATCATGAAATAGGCAGACACTGAGTCTTCCCAAAAAATTCAGAGGCTGAAGGCAGCCTCTCACAACAACTCCAGCTGGCATACTGATACAGGTGGGTGCATAGAACGCTCACCTAGTGGGGGATGCCTGTACTACAAGGGGCCTGCCCTCCAGAAGATAATTGCGGGGAGTTTTTTCCCCTGGTGTTTTTTTGACCAAACCCATAGAAACAAAAGCAGTAGGTTCAAAAGCTAGTGTTTTATTTTGTTGGTTGGGCACATAGGGTTGGTGTAGACACATTTATAGTAGAGAAGCTATAAAGTTTTACCAGGTGAATAATGTTCCTACTGTATCCAGCCTTGCACGTCCTTTGTACCAGCAATGGCATGATGTTGGCCCACGTGGCAGACGGAATCAGTCTGAAGCCCCCGAAGGTGGACAAGGCGGCTCTGCTGGCCTTGACTCAGCTGCGTGCATGTCTGGAGCTACCCCTGGGGTGTCAAGTTCTCTCGAAAGTGTGACAACTTGGGGACAGAACCTGGGAGCCAGCGGCATCTGTATACACAATCTGGTGGTAGTTGTGTGGGTGTTTGCCTTGTCTTTGTCTGCGACAGTTGTGTCATGAGTTTTCTATTACGGGGCCCCAGCTCTAGCGCCCGGTGGGCACCCTGGGCCCCCCTGACTGGAGAGTGAGAAAGCCTTTGTCGTGCACAGTTAGTTACAAGGCGTCTCAGCAGCCAGCGTGATTCCGTGTGCGGAGTTCCTGCTTCCTGTGATCCTGCCACGTGTTCCTTAAAATTGTCTGCGATGGCCCTGACTGGTGCCGCTCGGTGGTTGGGCGTCATCCTGCAACAGGGAGGGTGGACGGTCAGATTCCCGGTAGTGGGGTTCAGTGCACGTGAGAGAGAACCGATCAGCGTTGCTCACATCAGTGTTTCTCTCCCTCTCACTTCCTTCTGTCCCTTCTCTCTAAAAATAAGTAAGTAAAAAAATATTTTTAAAAGTTAAAAAACACATTGCCCTGGCTGGTGTGGCTCAGTAGGTCGGCCTGCAAACCAAAGGGTCGCCACTTCAATTCCCAGTCAGGGCACAGACCTGGGTTGCAGACGAGGTCCCCAGGGAGGGGTGCGTGAGGGGCAACTCCACACTGATGTTTCCCCCTCTCCCTCTCTCCTCTCCCTAAAAATAAATCAATTAATTAATTAATTTAAAAAAAAACATTTAAACAACTTATTTTTTAAATTAGCTGTGATGCATTCTCAAGGGAAGCCAGAAGCAGAAAACTGCTGGTTGTGTCCACAGCCTCAGGCCTAAACTCCTGCCGATGTTCCTGTTCCTGTTTCGCAGACTTAGACCCTCAGCCCTCCAGCGAGACGGCCTTTTGAGAAAAGGACGCAGGGCAGAGTGTGGGAGTTACTGCCTGAGTCACTGGAAACTGACCAAGGGCCGTCACACCCAGTGTCTGTTTGCTCCTCGTGCGTGTGCTTTGATAGTCATCACCTGGTGTAGAAGGTCCACAAATTGTTTTTTTCTGGCGATCTGACAGTGACTGATGGATGCATGGTTTCTTTAATGTAGACCAGGGTGTGTGCTAAAGGCTTTGCATGTGTGTGTTTGGTTCTCTCTGCAGCCCCAGGAGGTAGGTGGTGTTACCCCCTTTACAGGGGAAACTGGGGCTCTAGGAGGTTCACCCGTGTGCCCAAGCCCCACAGCGCATGGGTAGCAGAACTAGCCTTTGCGGATGGGTTGTCCTGGCTCTGGAGCTCCAGATTTATCCACGATATCCTCCTAAGGATATCTTCAGGGATACATTTCTCAAAATGGAATTGCTGGATGATTTAAACTACTGGTAGATACTTCCAACTAGTCTTCTGTGGGTAGGTCGCCAGTGCTCACCATGGCAAATGGGATTATGTGATGCTACCGCTCCTCCCACTCTGCCGCCGCACTGTCTTACCTTTTCTTTAGTCTTCACCCAAGGATAGGTTAATACTAACTTTAGAGAGAGAGAAGCATTGATTGGTTGCCTCCCAAATGGACCTCAACCAGGGATAGAACTTTCAACCTAGGTATGCGCCCCGACTGGGGATCGCACCCGCAACCTTTTAATGCACAGAGCAACACACCAACCAACTGAGCCACCTGTCCAGGGCCAGATTGTCTTGTGGGGGGGGGGGGTTGCGATTTTTAAAAAAAATCCTCACCCGAGGACATGCTTATTGATTTTTAGAAAGGAGGGAGAGAAACATCAATGTGAAAGAGAAACCGATCGGTCCCCTCATGTCCGCCCTGACCAGTACGCGCACTGAACCCACAGCCTAGGCACGTGTCCTGACTGAGACTTGAACCCGTAAACGTCTACTTTACAGGGTGGCGCTCCAACCAACTGACCCACATAGGCCAGGGCTGCAATTTGGTTCTTCAAAAAGTGTATCTTGAATTTATTGTTCTTTGATTATGGGTGGATTGAGCACCTTTTTCATCTTCAAAGCCAAATTTATCTTTCAGGTAAAATATTGACAGAGAACTATATTGTTTAGGACTGGATACATACACTAAAACCATAGAGAAATAACAAGTTTGTGGTTTCCAGAAAATTCAGGCGTGTGGTGACCTGGAATGCTGGGGAAGGAATAACCAAGTTTCTGGGAGCTGGCGGCATCTACACTCTGGTGGCAGTCATGTGGGTGTTTGCTTTGTCTTTATTTGTGATAGTTGTGTCTTATGAACTTTTCCGTTCGGTATACAATTAAAGAAATGTTTTTAAATGAGCAGCGCCTCTAGCCAAAATCTTAAAAATGAGTTACTTTATCTTCCATTTTTTAATTTATTATTTCCTTTTTTTAATCCCCAGCTGCAGGTACATTTGTTGATTTTAGAGCAAGGGGGAGGGAGAGAGAGAAACACACAGATGTGAGACAGATACGTCTGTCCTCTCCTGTGCGCACCCAGCCTGGGAATCGAACCCACAACTTTTTGGTGATGATGTTCTAACCAACTGAGCCACCTGGCCAGGGTTTCCATTTCTTTAAAAGGTGAATGTGCACTGTAAAAATAATTTACTTCAGCATAACCAGAAACAATGCAATAAGGGGATGGCCTCAAGCAGTAGTTTTTCTTCACTTTGTGGTCTAGACATTTTTGGTAACAACACTCTTAATAATAACAGCTCGGCGGCATTGCTGAGGCCTTATCCACTTCGTGAGTATCAGTTCGTATTAACTCGTATCTCACCAACCACACTAGGAAGGTACTTTATTATTCATACCTTGTTAGAGTAGAGAAAATGGAGACAAAAGTAGGTTCAGGTCACTTACTTGGACTCACAGAGTAAGTGACTGAGCAAGGCCCTCCCCCAGCAGCCCGGCCACAGAGCAGCTGCCCTTCACACCATGCAGCGCTGGTTTCCCAGCCCGAGGGTTTCCGGCTTGGGGTTTATGGCTCGTTGGGATGTGCATAGCCAGCAGCCAGTGTTCAGAAGGTTTGTAATCACAGTAACGTTACATGAGTTTGTGTGTGCGCGCATTTTCCTGCAGGGCAGTCCCACGTGTTCTCTGTGACTCTTCTGTCTTCCCTAGAAGACTGGCATCCGGGAAGCCACGCTGCTTTAGAATCCATTCTAACAGTGGAGGTCTGAAGGCTGTTGAGGGAACCAACCCCCCGGGGGGCGCCTGCTTCCCTCAGAGCTCCCGTGGAGCCCGTCATCCATATTGTTCTTAAGGGTTCATGGCCTTGTGTCAAAACACTATGAGTTATTATAGCTAAGTGACTAACCACTCTTCCTTATTCAGATATGAGCAAAAAAGAATACCCCCTTCTTTTAGATTAAGGCATTTTGTACTATATAGATTGTTTTGCACCTTTTCTCACTGAACAGTGCATCCAAGACAGAGAAAATATAGCCAACATTTATTGAGCATTTATGTTCTGGGCATTGAGTCCTCTCAGAGTGCTGTGAAGAAGTTCCTTTTATTGGGGTGTAGAATGGCCGAGTAACTTGTGTACAGCCACGAGCCTAGTTACAGGAATGCACCTTCATCCTTCCTGTGAAGTGAGTGGTTGGCACCACGGTCGTGACCGTAGGGGTCCCGCCTGCACATAGCACAGCCTCTGTGGAGAGGAGGTGCAGCTCCGTGTGTGCTGAGTGAGATGATCCGCTGGTGGCGTTGTGTAAGAGCCATCTTTCTGCTCCGTGTAGGACGTTTAAACATTTACTTTCCATGTTCAGGCCTTAGTCATCTCCTTATAAGAAGTTACGTCTTAGATGTTTATTTGTTTGTTTGTTTGTTTGTTTATGGATTCCAGAGAGAGGGGAAGGGAGAAAGAGAGGGAAAGAAACATCGTTGTGAGAAACATTAATCAGTTGCCTCCATACACGCCCCAACTGGGGACCAGACCTTTAACTCAGACATGTTCCCTGACCAGGAATTAAACCCGAGACCTGTCAGGCTGCGGGACAATGCCCAACCAGCTGAGCCACGTTGGTCAAGGCTTACATGCGTATTTTGATTATGGCTTATCAGACCACTTATAGTTGGCAGCAGAGATATTAAATATCTCGGGTTTGCTGACATATCTAGTTGTCCCTGGACATTCCACCAGAACAAGATCAGAAAATGACTACTAAATGTTATTTTTCCAGATTACAGGTCTCCTTCTTAACAGGGCATGTTATTCAGTTCTATCTGTCCAACCTAAAAACTTAGAAGCTGTTTGCTTTTAATCTACTAAAGAACTTTTCATGGGTTTGATGAAGAAGATTCTTCATCCAAAAAACATGAAAAGTTCAGGGATAAAGAAATTCTGTGGGGAAAAATACTGTTTTACGTCATCTCTACCCTCTTGCCTGTAGAGGCCAGCCCAGTTCAGCTCAGTTCCGGAAATGGAGCCCCCGGTGGGCACCAGGTAAAGGGGCGGGTCTTTAGGAACTTTGGCCGTCCCGGCCTTTTTGGCCTGGACGAAGGTGTTACTATGAGATGAGATCTCTGGAGTAATAAGTGTGGAAGGCAGGAGCAGATGGGTGTTGTGGATTCCTCACTGTTCTGTGATTGTTTTTGCAGGGGGAAAAGGAAGTGGTATCTTTGAGGAATCGACACCTGTGCACACTTCACAGCGTCTGAACCCACCTGGTGGGAAGACCAGTAACATTTTTGGGTCACCAGTGACCGCCACTTTGCCCCTGGCACACCCAAACAAACCCAAGGTATGGACTACATTCACATGGCCGACGTGAAAGTGAGAAAAGCAAGCACTGACCCTGGTTCTTTTTTCAAAGGCTCTGAGGCAGCTTTGACATGTTATTAGGAAGAGATACGAAGGGTGACGGTTTTTCTGGGTACAGTCATTAGTAATTGAGGGTTGTTTTATTTATTTGGTTGGTTGGTTGGTTTTATTTATTTTTAGAGAAGGGAAGGGAAAGAGAGAGGAAGAGAAACATCAGTGTGTGGTTGCCTCTTGCATGCCCCTAACTGGGGACCTGGCCTACAGCTTAGCCATGTGCCCTGACCGGGAATCGAACCAGAGACACTTGCTTCTCAGGCCAGCACTCACCCCATTGAGCCACACCAGCCAGGGCAGTAATTGAATTTTGAAGCTCCCCTGAGTCATCAGAGAAATAAATTCCAACCTCTTGCTGACTGAGCCCTGGGGGAAGCTGGTCTTAGTGTGTGGGTAGCAGCGACTGCCCACTGTACTTACACTACTGTTCTTCTCTGTATGTCACTAAGGGATGGTAAGACTAGTGATACAGTTAAACATACAAAAGAAAAATTCACATTTTACAAAAACTTGACAGTTTTCAGTGGTTATTAATAAGTACAATCGCATTGGATTAAAATTCAGCAGGTGTTCAAAATTCATGGGTTCCCTAAGTATGCTTTTTAAAGGCTTACTTGTCACCTTTGGAGAATGCTAGAGGACCAATTCATTGCAAAAACTGCTCAAGCATCGAGTAAAGCTTTAGACAGCATTCCCTACATGAACTGTACCTCAGGATGACAGTGTCTTCAGGGAAAGTTGCCTTTTATAAACGTACTATAGCCTGTAAATGAACAAGGAATAACAGAATTCAGATATCACCCTTTTGCACACTTGTAATGAAATTGTGGGTGTAGGCAGTGATCATTAGTGGCTCCCGACATCACAAAACAGGACACAGCCCGAAAACCACGGTCCCATAACAGGGGGCCATCATGGATCACCTTTGAATTCTTGTCAAAAAAGCAGGTCTGATTCAGAGCAGACCTCATTTAATCCACACCGCAGGGATTCAATCAGAGTTATCCAAAATATAGGAAATTACATGGTAGAGTGGTTGGATATCCCAAGTTAAAAAAAAACCCACTTAAGAATGCAATCCCTATGAAAGTCCCAATAGTGAGCCTTTTTTTTTTAAACATTAGGAAGATTTATTTTAAAATTCAGATGGAATCTCAAGGGACCCCTAATAGCCAAAAATTTTAGAAAATGAAGCACAAAGTTGGAGGTTCACTCTTCCCAATTTCAAGACTTGCTACAGTAATCAAAACAGTATGGCACTGGTACAGAGTTAAATGTACAGACCATTGGAATAGAATTGGGAACCAAGAAACAAATCCTCACATTTAACGGCTAATCGGTATGTCCACAAGGGTCCCAAGATCATTCGCTGGGGGAAAGAACTGTCTCTTCAACAGATGGTGCTGGGAAAATTGGATGTGCACAGGCAAAAAAGTGAAGGGTACGCCATATATAAAAATTGACTAAAGGTGGATCAAAAACCGACATTTAAGAGCTACAACTAAAAGTTTTAGGAGAAAATTTAGGGAGAAATCTTTATAGTGATTTGACCATGGTTTCTTAAATATAACACCAAAAATACAGGCAACAAAATTTTAAATAAACAAATAGGGCTTCATTAAAATTAAAAGCTTTTGTACATGAAAAGACACCATCAATGCAGCATTGTTTATAGTAGCCAAATATGGAAGCAGCCCAAGTATTCACTGATAGAAGGCCAAAGATGTACATTTCTACAATGGGAAGAAAAGAATGAAATCTGGCCATTTGCGGCAGTATGGACCTAGAAGGTATTATGCTTAGTGAAATAAGTCAAACAGAAAGACAGATGCTATATGATTTCACTTATATAAGAAATCTAGAAAAACATAAAATGAACAAAGAAAACAAACTTATAGATACAGAGAAAAAGTGATGGTTGCCAGCTGGGAGGGGGTTGGAGTGCTGGACGAAAAAGGTAAACGGGATTAAGACATAGAATCGCCAGTTACAAGAGTCATGGGGATGTAAAGTACAGCATAGGGAATAGAGTCAACAGCGTTATAACCGTGTGTGGTGTCAGATGCGTAGTAGACTTACAGGGGTGATTACTCCGTAAGGTATATAAATGATAAATGTCTAACCACTACATTGTACACCCGAAATTAACATAATGTATGTCAACCGTAATTTAAAAAATAAATATTCATTTTTTTAAGGTTTGTTTTTTTTCTTTTTTAGAGAGAGGGGAAGGAAAGGGGAGAGAGAAAGAGAAACATCAATATGTGGTTGCCTCTTATGTGTCCCCCAATGGGGACCTGGCCTGCAACCCAGGCATGTGTCCTGACTGGGAATCAAACCAGGGACCCTTTGATTCACAGGCCTTCACTTGATTCATTGAGCTACACCAGTCAGGGCAAAAATAAATAAATTTTTAAAAAAGACTATCGAGAGAATGAAAACACAACCCATAGAATATTTGAAATCACAAATCTAATCAAGGTTTGCTATCCAGAATATATAAAGAATTCCTACAATCATACAACAGAAAGACAACCCAATTCAAAAATAGTTGAAAGAGCACATGAAAAGATGCTCAACATTATTAGTCACTAGGGAAAGGCACACAAGGTACTACTCACACTCACTAGGATGACCTTCATCAAAAAAATAACAGGCCCTTCCCACAATACCTTGTGGCTGACCTCCGACCTCATGGTCCACCCCTCACCATAGGCTGCATCTGTCCCAGCTCCTGTGGAGGTTACAGGGGGTGACACTTGAGCTCAGCTTCTGCCTGGCGCCTGGGGACCTCTGGTCCACCTCGTCCCTTTGCCTTCCTCCCGCAGTGGTGCTGGTGGCGGTCAGGTGGTTGCAGCTGTCTCAAGAGGCGACAGGATTCAAGAGGACCAGCAAGGAACCTCTTCCCAAAAAGGTTCGAATGAGTGAGGCAGACTTCAAAGTTATAGCACCGAGATGAGTTAATTTTAAGATGGAAACAGTATGAAGCATACGTGCAAGCTTTGAAGGGCAAGTACACAGATCTGAACTCTAATGATATAACTGTCTTAAGGGAACTAAAGCAACAACAGCAAGAGTCTGCATGCAGGGAAGACACCCTTGTCGTGCAAGAGTGTACTAAAGTACAGTGCCTCAAACAAGTCCGGCAGCCCACTTGTCCAACAAAGATCAACAGTGGTAGACCCCATGATCAACTTGTTTTTCCTAAAAATGAATGGCGAGCTGAAACAGACTAAAGACGAACTGGAAGAAGCCCGAAAATGAACTGAGTGCCTGGAAGTTCACACCTAATAGGTAAACAAACCATACTCCCCAGTCACGGCTCCCCGACAGTCCCACTGCGAGAAAGCAGTGGTGGGATGGCCAAGTCCTCGTTTCCACACCAAGACTCAGACTTTCTGAGCCCAGAGAAGCCACTCTCAGCTTTAATGGTTAATGTAAAACTTACCAGATGAACCTTGTATTTCAGCTTTTTTTTCTTCCCCTCCTCTTGCTTCAGAGTCCTGATGGCATCAGTCTATGACGAAGAAGTGGCCACCTCTGAAAAACCCCTTCTAGAACGTGCAGACACCTGAGAGGTGTGTCTGTTTGAAGACAGTAGAGGGAGAAACAGAATTCTCAAGTCTGTGGCACCTGGTCTTCAGACAGTTTGGAGGAATGAAAACTAGAGATAGGAAATCGTGAATTGAACATGTAAAATTCCAGTAAAATGCCAAAATGAAACGTGCATCGTGCTTCGCCTTGAGCCCAGAGACTTAGTGGCCCCGTGTGTCCATTTTGCCAACAGACTGTGGACTTCGTGATTATTGTTGAACTTCTTGATCTAAAACTCAAATGATGTGAATTTTGCCTTTAGTTTATTTGCCAAGAAACAATAGTTTTAAGAGAAATAAGGAATAGACATTAGTACAAGTAGTTCATATATTTAACCATTGAGCTTGGAGCTGTACTCGAATGAGCCTTCAGTCAGTATGATTTTTCTCTGGATGGTTGCTAAGGCCATAGGCAGTCTTACCTAGGACTACACAGACGTGAAGGCGTGGTGTCAAACCTCAGGTTCGAACTGTTTGAAGCATTGTGAACATTCATTTCAACTAGATTGTGTAAGGATATGGGCTGTGATGAAACTCGTGGTGTTATTTTTTTAGTCATGAAATTAAATCCCCATTCCATTCAACAGGCACATACATGTTAAAAGAGCATTGTCGTTGGTGTAAATGGGGGAATGTGTTCATTTATTTGGACCTTTTGTATCGTACTTTTGATATTAAATGGGCCTTGAAAAAATAACAAATGCTACTTTTTGGCTAGGATATGGAGAAATTGAAACCCCTCATACATTGCTGTTGGGAGTGCAAAATAGTGCAGCTACTGTGGAAAGCAATTTGACAGTTGCTGAAAAAGTTAAACAGAGTTTATTATATGATTCAGCTATTCCACTCTTATATACATATCCCCAAAATTTGAAAACAGAAACTCAGATACTTGTTCACCTATTTTAATAGCATCACTTACATTGATGCTGTTAAACAACCCCAGTGCCAGCCAGCAGGTGAACGGCCAGCAGAAGGTTCTGCACACCGCACGTTTGGTGGGCGCTCAGCCGGGAGAAGGGTGACGTTTCTGGTACCTGCTACAACATGGATGAGCCTTGAAAACATGTCCTAATGTTCTAAAGTTTGACTAGGTGTTAGATATTGAAGGAAGCCTTAATTTTTGTAGCTGTGAGAATATTGTGTGTGTGTGTTAAGGACATTTTGAACAGCCACATCTTGAATTATTTATGAGTCAATGAAATTTTTGGAATTTGCTTTAAAATAACTCTTCAATGGGGCGGAGGGATTGAAATTGGGAGAACTCTGTGGCTGAGGCCCGGACAGCAATGAGCTGATGTCATTGTAGCTGTACAGCGGGTTATGAGGGAGTTCACAGTGCTACTTTGTTTATGGTTTAAATTGGCCATAATAAAAATGTTTTTAGAGGTAAACACCCAAGGCATCTATCCATGTCTTGATTTTCATTGTTCTTCTGACCAAGGGTTACAAGTTTCTGAATCACATATTGACATGGGGTTTGCCTTGTTGCAGGACCACGTACTCTTGTGTGAGGAAGACCCAAAACTGGACCTTAAAGGTGAGCTTCTGTTTCCTGTGTCTTCCCCGAGTGCTCGCACCGGAAGAGGTGCCGGTGCACCCCAGAGGATGAGAGGTAACATTCCTGTGCCCCTTGCCAGGAAAAAGCAGCACGGTTGCATTTAATGCCGAGAGGATTTGGTATTCGAAAAGGCCCAGGGAAATGGGCTCAGCTGTTTCTGATGAAAGCTTTTTAACTGGTCACCACTGGTTTTTCTTCACTTCTTGTTACCGCTAATCATCCTGGGCCTAAGATCAAGGTATCCTACTCTAAAAGCTGATTTGTGTAGGGAAGGGCAGGGGATCCAAAGTCTTTAATATACTTGTGATGGAGGATAGAGCCAACAGAACTGATGTAGAAAAGAAGGGTCTGAGAGGACAGGAAGGATGGAAGGAGAGATGTGAAGCTGCACGGGGTGGGGAGAGCTGGTGTCTCCGCAACCCATCACCTAGGAAGTGCGCTGTCCCCATGGTGGGGCGCAATGTCAGGCTTGAGTCCCACCGCAGTGCTGTAAGCTGACTGAGCACTGATTTCTGCCTTTTCCTTCACCAGTTCCCCCCACTCATGACCAAGATACATGGGAATTTGTTCATTCAGAAAGTCCAGAGTAACGGTATTAGAAAATCTTGCCTCACCTTGCTAAATGCTCCAGCTAAAACTGTCTCCCTCTTTTTTTACGCTCAATTTGCTTTTTATTCTTGAGGTTAAAAAAAAAAAAAAAGGTGGGGCATGGAGTCCAACCAGCAATATAAATAACTAATGAACTTATTTAGGAATTTAGCAAGGATTGCTTATGCTAAGCCCCAACTTTATGCCCAGTTCAAGAATAGCCTTTGCTAATAATCCGTGGGGTTTTTTGGTACAGATGGAGGCCTTTCTCTTTGCTTTTATCCCTTTTCCCATTATAGCTGCATGTCTTGCTAGCTGGGCTGTCGCAGAGTTCCTGTGCATAGCTTGACCATCCTGGTGTGGGAGAGCCTCTAATGAGATCATTTGCTGACTTTGTCCCACAGCCGCAGCGAGCACTGTGCCGAGAGAAGAGCCCGGTGAGAAAGGTGGCTGGAGAGAAGCAGACCCTGCTCAGGAGCCCCAGCCCACACCCTCTGTTGACAGCCATGAGCCCAGGTTGGGCCCAAGGCCTCGATCTCACAACAAAGTCCTGAATCCACCTGGAGGCAAATCCAGCATCTCCTTCTACTAGAGAAGCTACTGCTTCCCCTGTAGCCAGATAAGAAACTCAAAAGATAGGATTTCAAATAGTTTCCTTTAGTCCAAAGGAATGGGGGGTGGGGAGAGGGTTTGTCGAGTATCTGAAGGCGCTGCTCAGGTTCCACTGCCACCTGGAGAGCCGCAGAGAACCACGCCTTACAGACTGCCCAGAAACGTCTCTGTGGGGGAAGCGTGACTCGTGGTGAACACTAATTTTGGATGTGAGGAACTCTCGGATGGGCTGGGTGGGGAGCTGGTGCGAGGCCATGGGACCCAGATGAAGTGGGATCTTCCATGTTCCTGTGGCTTCAGCAGTCGGCCAGCCAGTGCTATCTAGAAATCACTTCACATAGTAACAGAGTTTAAAGCCTCAGAAATCTAGAAACAACATTGGGCATAAATCAGAAAGTTATTGTAAGTCTTATGCTTTATGGAGAAATTTTTACCCTGATCCTTTATCCTGATGCGACAGGAATCTGCCTTTTGCTCATGAGGGACTGGTCTTGGTCTATTCACAGACCGGTTTTGCTCGTGAGTTATTTCTTTTTTCCTCTCATCCCTGAGTCGTGGCCTTTGCTCTTTACCAGTGGACAGTTCCTCTTAGCTGCAATGCCCACCGAGTTCTGCAAGACTAAAACTGTCCAGATACATCCAGGTAATTGGGTTATTTAAATCCTTCATGTGTCTTACTTTATTCCTGTTGACATTGGGTAGGAGAGATGCTGGAGAATCTTGGGTTCTTAGATTTGAACTCTTTAATAATACCTAAGGAGCTATTCTTAAACAGCAGCTTTACATAAGTGACTATTAACTGGTCTAGTCGTGACACCTTTCTAGGAAAAAGTTACTCAGGTATACCAAAGAAGAAAAGTTTACTTAGGCCACCTTTTATAAAGCTCCACAGAACCTCTGGACTATATTCGTTTCCAGAAGAGACTTGGAAACCTTAGGCCAAGAGATGTACTAGTTGGGCAGCAGAGCCCCAGCTGGCCAGTTGCTTGGTCGGGCAGAAGTTTCTCGCATTCAACCTCCTAAGGATTTAGTTTCCATTCACTCACACGGGATCAGTAGTTCACAGGAGGAAGGGTTTGTGTGCTGGTGGCTGTCATTGTGGGTGCCTGCAGAGCAAATGCCAGGCGGTAGAAATGTCTTCATCTTTCTTAAAATTGAGGAAAGAAACATGTGTTGAGTTATAATCACGGCGGCTGAGACACTGAGTGCCTGCAGCAGCTGCCTGCCAGACCCCACTTCTCACACCTGGCACATCGAGGGGATCCGCGTGTGGGTTTGCCAGCCAAAGAGTTCCCTCCTTTCAGTTCTTGTGCTGACTTTGCAGCCAAGAAATACTCATTCTGTGTGACTTTATCAAGTACTTCCTGTCTTCATGCTTCAGATAGTCACTTTTTAAGAAATTTGTTTGGAACTCAGAGCTTTTTTCCCTACATTAAAAGATGTTGTAAGTGGTGGTTAGCTTTTAAGGCCAAATGCACTAATTTGTTTAACTTAAAATGAAATGTGCTAATGGTGAAAATGAGCTGCCATTTATAACTACATTTATTTTTCATATACAAGAAAATGATTTGTCACTTCCAAATTGGGTTGCTAGGAAGAACCTGACGTACTGCTGGCCCTTGTGGCTTCACCCCCACTGTCGGCCGAATGACTCGAGCTCTGGACTCGGGTGGAGATGGGGAAGCCCAAGATGGGAAGAGAGGCCTGGGGGGGGGGGGTGGTGAGGAAAGCAGGAGCCTCTGGGCAGCAGTGACTCCTCCAGCCTTTTCTCCCCATCTTTACCCCCTTTTCCTCCCCGGGGCCTTAGGAGCGGGTTAGTTTGGTCGCTGGGAGAATCAGAAGAGGAGTGTCTGCTCCTGTGGGCCCGATGGGGATGGTGATCTGTATTTGGGAAGTTCTGTAGACTTAGGGCTGTCCGTATCTGGAAGATCGATTAACTGTTAGCGTCCTGTTCTCAACCTCTAAACTGCATTGAGAAATCACCAGTCTGTGTTTTTATTAAGCCTTAAAACTGCATTTGGTGCCAACCTTTTTCTAGAGCTGTATCAAAAACAACAAAACTGTACTTACATGACAATGTAATTTTGATAAGAACATTTTGTTATTTTCACAAGGCAGAATTGGGTACAACAGTTGAATTAAACTTAGTAATCATGTACTCACAGTCTTTGCCTGTTTTTTGTCTACGTGTCTGTGTGTATGTGCACGCTTTCCTTAACATACATCCTCCGGAGCGCCCGCTCTCCGCTCCTGCCCTTACAGCTTTTCATTGGTTAAGGGTTTGCTGCTGCTGCTTTTTTTCCCTCCAGATGATGCCCAAACTGATCTTCTCTAAGGTTGTGAATTTAGATTTTATTTTTCATTTCAAAACCAGAGGTGTAGCTTTGAGGAGAATGAGTGGGAATGTGCAAGAGTTTTTTGTTTTAATGACCCTTTTTTTCCCTTCCACCACTTTTCCTAAAGAACTGAAGCTATTGAACTTGCCTCTGAATTGGCTTTGAAACTCCCCAGTGACAAAAGCTGTAAATGAGTAGATGAGGTGCTGAGCTGTGAGGGTTTTGCCCACAGATTCAGGCCTGTAGAGAAAGCACGGATTGAATGGCTTTCCTTCTTACCTACTAGCTATTTTCACGTGTACTACAAGGCAAGTGCTTGTACATGTCTTGGGGCACCCCGTATGTCTTGTACGTGACGTGGGTTCCAGGTGATGAGACTTCTCAGACTGCGCACCTGGAGAGTGCCCTCAGAGGAGACTCCACACCTTTGTTCCTGTGGGATCAGGGCCAACGGCCCGGACGGCTCCTCCAAAAGAAACCCAAGGACTTCTGGCCAAGATGGAGGCGTACGTGGAAACACTTCCTGCTTGCACAACCAAATTTAAAGACAAAGTTTTAGTAACAAAAACAACCAAAACACAGAAAATTGAACTGTACCGAAGTTCAACAACAATGAACCATTCATCCAGACCGGTAAGAGGGCTGGAGTCAGCGGCCAGTGGAGAGGGGTCGGGCAGGAAAACGGCTGGACCGACCTAGGTGTGCAGATCCCGGGTGTGGGGTGGCAACAAGCAGACCCAGTGAGGGCACAAGGCAGCTGCCCGACTGCGGTGACACATTTGCGCGCAAATAAACCAGGTGAAGGAGCGAGCAGTGAGACAGACCACACAGACTAGGGCCCCAGCGACGGAAATTAAAGCCTAAAAGCACCAATTGGAAAAACTTCTGGAGTCAAGGTGCTGGGAGAAGCTCCCAGGCTCACAGTTTGTTGGAGAGAGCCACAAAGGGGGTCCTGGAGGGTGCACAGGCCCACACATCTGGGAACCAGCACCAAAGGGGCCCAGTTCGCTTGTGGGAAGCAGCAGAGGGGACCAGAATCTGAGAGAGAGCAGAACACAGGCCATTGCCCCTCTCTGACCCCGCCCCCCACATATAGCATCACAACCCAGCAACTGGGTCACCCTGCCCTGGTAAATATCTAAGGCTCCTCCCCTCATACAGAACAGGCACGACCTCATTAAAAAATTATGGTTCAAGAAGAACAGCTCAAAGCCCCAGAGCCAATACTTCTAAGTGACTAAGAGATAGTCAACCTATCAGATGCACAGTTCAAAACACTGGTGATCAGGATGCTCACAGAACTGGTTGACTAGTCACAAATTAAAGGAACAAATGAAGGCTAAACTAATTGAAATGAAGGGAAACGCACAGGAAACCAACAGTGATAGAAAGGAAACTGGGACTCAAATCAAAGGAGTGGACCAGAAGGAAGAAAAAAATGACCAAACAAAAGGATGAAGAAACAAGAATTCAAAAAAATGAGAAGCTTAGGAACCTCCAGGACACCTTTAAACATTCCAACATCTGAATTATAGGGGTACCAGAAGGGGAAGAGGAACAGCATGAGTGGAAAAGTTATTTGAACAAATAATAAAGGAGAACTTCCCCAATCTGGCAAAGGAAATAGACTTCCAGGAAGTACAGGAAACTCAGAGAGTCCCAAAGAAGTTGGACCCAAGGAGGAACACACCAGGGCACATCATCATTACATTAGCCAAGATTAAAATGAAGGAGAGAGACTTCCACCAAGATGGAGGTGTAGGTGGACACACTGTGTCTTCTTGCACAACCAAGGTTAAAAACAACAAAGTTTTAGCAACAAAAACGCAGCCAAACCACAGAAAATTGAACTATACTGAAGTCTGACAACAATGAACCCTTCAGCCAAACCGGTAAGAGGGGCAGAGCCAGCAGCAGAGCGGGGTCGGGCAGGAAAGATCCACCAGACTGACCCGGGCGCACAACCCAGGTGAGCCAGCAGCCGTGGGCGGACCCCAAGTGTGGAGTAGCAGGCGGACCCACTGAGGGTTGACTGCAGTCACACATTCTCGTGCAGATAAACCAGTGAAGGATCCAGCAGTGAGAAGGACCGCACAGGCCCCAGTGAAGGGAAGCGGCAGAGGGGACTGCCATTGTCCCTCTCTGACCCCGTCCCACATACAGCGTCATAAAATAGCGACCTGAGTGGCCCCGCCCTGGTGAACAACTAAGGCTCCACTCCTCGTACTTAATGGGCGCGAACAGATCAAAACATGTCTCAAGAACAATTCAGAGCCCCAGAGCTGATAAATCTAAGCAATGAAGAAATAGCCAAACTTTCAGATTCATGGTTCAAAACACTGGTGATCAGGATGCTCACAGAACTGGTTGATTTTAGTCACAAATTAGAGGAACATATGAAGGCTAAACTAATTGAAATGAAGGGAAATGCACACGAAACTAATAGTGATGGAAAGGAAACTGGGACTCAAATCAATGGAGTGGACCAGAAGGAGGAAAGAAATGATCAAACAGAAAAGGATGAAGAAACAAGAATTCAAAAAAATGAGGAGAGGCTTAGGAACCTTCAGGACATCTTTAAACATTCCAACATCCGAATTATAGGGTACCAGAAGGGGGAAAGAAACAGCCACCAGTGGAAAACTTATTTGAACAAATAATAAAGGAGAATTTCCCCAAGCTGGCAGAGGAAATAGACTTCCAGGAAATCCAGGAAGCTCAGAGAGTTCCAAAAAAGTTGGACCCAAGAAGGAACACACCAAGGCACATCATAATTATATTAGCCAAGATTAAAATGAAGGAGAGAATCCTAGAAGCAGCAAGAGCTAAGGGGACAGTCACCTACAAAGGAGTTCCCATCAGATTGTCGGCTGATTTCTCAAAAGAGACCTTACAGGCAAGAAGGGGCTGGAAAGAAGTATTCCAAATCATGAAATCCAAAGACCTACATCCAAGATTGCTCTATCCAGCAAAGCTCTCATTTAGAATGGAAGGGCAGATAAAGTGCTTCTCAGATAAGATCAAATTCATCATTCAAGGAGTTCATCATCACCAAGCCCTTATTATATGAGATGTCAAAGGGACTTATCTAAGAAAAAGAAGATAAAAAAGATGAACAGTGCAAGGACAGCAAACTCACAGTAATTAACAACCACACCTAAAACAAAAGCAAACTAAAAGGACAGCTAGATCAGGAGCAGAACCATAGAAATGAAGATCTCATGGAGGGTTAGCAACAGGGAAGTGGGAGAAGGTACAGAGAATAAGTAGCATAGACGGTAGGTAGAAAAACAGATGGGGAGCCCTGGCTGGTGTAGCTCAGTGGATCAAGCACAGGCCTGCGCCCAAACCAGAGGATGGCAGTTCAGTTCCCAGTTAGGGCACATGCCTGGGTTGCAAGCCAGTTCCCAGCAGGGGGCGCACAAGAGGCAACCATACATTGATATTTCTCTCCCTCTCCCCTTCCCCTCTAAAGATAAATAAAACCTTTATAAAAAAAAAATGAGGAGGGCAAGAAAAGTATGGGAAATATTGAATCTAAAGAATTTGTGACACATGGACATAAACTGAAGAGGCAAATGTTGGGAGAGGGGTGTGCAGGGTGGAGGGGAATGAAAGGGGGAAATGGGACAACTGTAATGGCATAATCAATAAAATATAAAGGAAAAAAAACCAACCTGGGTTACCTGATGTGATCTTTTCTTTGTTTTGTTTAAGATTCCATTTATTTATTTTTAGAGAGAAGGGAAAGGCAAAAGAAAAAGAGGGACAGAAGCCCTGATCAGTTGCCTCCCACACACGCAGGCATGTCCCCCCAACTGGGGACCCTGCCCGCACTGCAGGCATGTGCCCTGACCGGAACGACTTTCCGCCTTGCAGAATGATGGCCCACCAACTGAGCCACACTAGTCAGGGCCTGAGATGATCTTTATTTGTTCATTTGAAAATGTATTTGGGAGTACAGAGCATGTTCCAAGAACTGGGCTAGTCTCTGGCAACATTACCTGTTTGTAGCAGCGGCTCAGCCAGGGGTGAGCACTGAGGTCTGAGTGTCAGAACCTGTTTGTCCCCAGGGGCAAAGCCATGGCTAAGTCTGAAAGGACCAAGATAGCTCTGCCCATGTGGTGAGAAGGGTGGATAACATCGAAGGGTTGCCACTGACCGTACCTTACCCAGAAATACACTTGCTCTTTTGATGGAACATTAATCTGTTATCTTTGTGAATCAAACCTTGCAAGGATATATATACTTGTGTTATCCAAGTTCATTTCTTCTGAACTCATTATGCTCCTAATCCCTAGCATTAAGGATCCTTACAGATGAAAGTAGAACTTTTGAAACCCGTGTGTCCATGTGGCATTTTATTAGGGCCTTGTAATGATAAGAAGAGAAAGTTGTATTCCACATTATCTTTACAAATCTGAAAGGATGTCTGTTTAACCAAATTCTAGTTAGGCTGAGCTCTCAAGAGTGGTCTCAGTTGTTTTCCTCAGTAAGCATCAGGTATTATCCAGCATATCATCGTGTTAAAGCTTCATTTTTTTAAACCAATTTCAAGTAACAAATATGTCTAATCGTGTTACTAATAAAAACTAAAAGTTAATGGCCAACTCAGTTGACCGTCAACTGAGGTAAACCATCAACCATCCTACCTTTGGTAGTAGGAGCGGCCCTACTGTATTTACTACTTCAGGAATTCAGAGGAGGGAATTTCTGCGGGGGCGGGGCGGGGGGAGCCTAAGGCAGAGTTCTTAAACATTCCTCAAAGCATTCTCTGTAACTTGCTGTGATGTAAATGGCTGAGGTTCCAGAAAACCAGAGT